GTACGTCGTCGCTTCTCTTGGTGGCGGTTGGTGGCTTCATCAAAGGAGGCGGAATCGGATGAAATGATTCGGGATACAGAGGATGGGTTGATTGACTGATTATAGGTGGTTTCAAACCAGATTTTCAGTGCGATATTTGATAGATGTGGCTTGAGTTGATGCTGGGCTCGGAGGGCAGCCTTTTGGCTGTTTAAAATAGGTTGACGGGTTTGCTTTGGCATTGCGGAAGGGAGGGATGAAGTCAAAATAGCCTATTTTGGTTACTCCTATATTAGCAATTTTGTATTGGAGGAGGGGAGAATTTAAGCAACTTGCTAGTAATGGAGTATTAAGCAATTTTATATGGAGTTGTAATTTGGACAGCGTGGCCAGTTGCTTATAATGGAGTATTGCTTATATCGGAGTTGCTTATAACGGGGTTTTACAGTACTCTATACAGAGTACGCCCATATTATTATTCACTATCTACAGATACAGCAGTTGGAGAAGAAAAGGAATTATACGATCCCCTCATAATCCCAGCATTGATCTCCGCATGTCTGAGTACTCTATAATCTACAGAGTATACAGAGTACAGTGTTGGTTAGGCTCGGAACTGCGGACGATGACGGAATCGCATCGGCAATACTAACTGCGACCGACAGCATTACTACTTTAGATAGCTGTCAGCATACAAATACTCCGTAGAGTAAGAACTAGTTGACTTTACATAGAATAGGCAATGTTTTCCGGCGGCAAATGAAACCAGTTCCCGATCCCAAAATGGTGATTTTTTCCATGTGAGCTACAGAGTACTCCAGAGTACACGGTAAAGAGCAATACTATCCGTCGTAGTCCATTGACGGCCCATCAAGAGCTCAATCTCATATAATACACAGACAGCGTAACTTTTGCCATCATTATCCATTTTCCTTTTCAGTCCCGCACCGTCACTTTTAACCAGACAAACCCAAGCCAACTATATCCTGACGAACATGCGAACCGGCGCCAACACAAACGAGAAGGTCAAGTAGGAAGAGGAGAGGTCCAAGGTGAATAAAGCGATTACCGTCCACCCTGGGCGTTCTGCATCATAGCCGCGTTCTGTTCCTGGAATCGTTCGTTCAAGCGAGCCGAACCCTTGAGGTACTTGTCGACACAGCGCAGCACACAGCCTTCCTCACGAGAAGCAAGCGAACGGGTGGTGAAGTCGTTGACACAGTCATCGAAGCAGCGTTGGACGAGTTTAGAGTACATCTAAGTGTGTCAGTTGGTGTGTTCGTTGTAAGGAAGGTATCCTCAGTCGTGGATAGAACGTACGCCCATGAATTCCTTCAGCTGCTTTCTCTCCATGCGAGAGGCGAGCTCGCGTTGTTCCGTAGCATTGAGACTGCAAATTAGCATTCAAAATAAAGGGAAGCAGATAATAAATTGAATACACACCCATCCATTTTGTTATGTGATGTTCGTGGATAAGCTGGCTCAAGGTGAACTGCTACGATTCTTCATCTCCGACCGCACCGCACTCCGCCAGGTGTCATGTGATCTCACGTGATCCCAACTCTCTACTACGGTCACACAGTAGCAGTGAAACCGTCCCAACCGTCGACCGAGTCTCGACTTTTGGACGGCCGGGGTTGACCGGATTGGAGTCGAGTCGTGTCCCTGGACCCTGTACCTATACCTGTGTATAGTTAAGGGACTTGGGGTACAAGTACTAGGAGTCTAGTTGAGTACAGAGATGAACTGTACTCTGAGTACGGACACTACTGTCTACCATAGTCTCTGTAGTATATTCTCTCTCTTAGTTATACTCATCTTACTCTGTAGTGTACCTAGAACAGTACATTGCCATACCATGGTTCCTGAGACCCCTTCTGGCAGTCATCATGAAGGATCATCGGCATCATCGGTCTCTCCTCTTTCTCTCCCACACTCCTTCACCACTCCCCTTTATCCTCCTTTATCCTCCTTTATCCCTCCTTCATCACTTAAGAGTATAATACCTGCAATATCACGGGATCAGTCAGGTAATCAGATATCGCCCGTTTTGCTGCTATTTTGGGAACTGCCCAGCCCCGGCTTTTTCGCCGCCAATAATCCCCATTAACATCAATCTGTATTATACAGTCAAGTCAAGTCAAGCAAGCAAGCAAGTCAAGAGACACGAGGGCGGTCTGACTTGGTGACGGTCTGCCTCACTGAGACTGATTCATTTATTATTGATCTTCAACTCCCTTCATTCGTTCGTTCAACCGTCCAATCGATCGAGTTCCGGGGGTCGTCGGTCCCTCTGATCCAATTAATTCCAGATCGCTTCCCTCGTCCCTCATTCTCGACCTTCATTCTTCGTTCTTCATCGTCCGCTGTCCATCGTCCATCGTCCATACACTCATATCGTCCCACTTCGTCTACTTCGTCCCACACCATCTACAACGCCCACATCGCCATCCGTCACGCGAACATGGTGACGGGAAAACCGGAGCCCTTCCAGGCCTTCGCGCCCACCTCTCAACCTGTCGCTTTCTCGCCTCCGTCCAAACGAGATCTCACTTCCTGGTGGAGGCAGTTCAAGAGGAATACCCGCAAAGAGGAAGTCAAAGGTACGTTTACTGCATGTGGATCACCAGCATGGAGACCATGTGTTTCTCGGTCCATTCTACAACTCGTCCGCTTCAACGAAAGAAGGTGCTTCCGCAATGCGACCAGTGACCCGCGGCCTGTGCTATCTCGAGAAACGCCAGCCTGGTGCGATCGCTATCCTCTGTGAGAGGTATCGCGTCGATCAATAGTACAACCTCTATCGACTCCCTTGAATCTCACCATCATCTCTTCATGGCTGGCGCTAACGGTTCCTGCGTTATAAAAAAAAAAATAGATATACCTCGAGGAATCTTCGGTATTCCTCTCAACGTCAGCATCAAATACGCCAACGTCGCAATTTCTCTCACAAATGACAATGGTGAAAGCTTCATCTACGGTTACGTTCCTATCGTCGTTGCGAAATGCGGGGTGTTCTTGAAAGAAAAGGGTGTGTCAACTGCCTCTCCTGTCTGGTGAGGGACGTCACTAACTTTGATTGTTTTAATAGCAACCGACGTGGAAGGCATCTTTCGACTCAACGGTTCCGCGAAGCGCATCAAGGACCTTCAAGAGATCTTCGACTCCCCCGAGCGTTACGGAAAAGGTCTCGATTGGACCGGTTATACTGTGCACGATGCCGCCAACGTCCTCCGTCGTTATCTCAACCAGCTTCCCGAGCCGATCGTGCCGTTGGATTTCTACGAGCAATTCCGTCAGCCGTTGCGCACCTATCAGCGCCAGGTCCAAGGTCTTGCGCCAGCCAACGAGGCGGAGATTTTTGATCACGCCAAAGCCGTCGCAGCCTATCAGCAGCTCATCAGGGAGCTCCCGCCGCTCAACAAGCAGTTGCTGCTCTACATTCTCGATCTCCTGGCCGTTTTCGCTTCCAAATCGGAGCAGAACCGGATGACCTCCGCCAACCTGTCCGCCATATTCCAGCCTGGATTGCTCTCCCATCCCCAACACGACATGTCGCCCGATGAATACAAGCTGAGCCAGGATGTTTTGATCTTCCTTATCGAGAACCAGGACCACTTTCTGTTCGGTATGAACGGCACCGCGGCGGACGAGGAGACCGTCAAGGCGGTTGAGTCTGGCGGCATCGCCCCTCGCGCACCCACGACCACCCAGACCAGCATCCGTCGTTCCGTCTCCAGCGCCAGCGGCGGCGCAGATAGCTTCCGCAAGTATGGCAGCCTTCGACGCAACGTGTCCGTGTCCTCCAAGAATTCGCGAAACTCGAACGCCGCCACCAGCCCTGGCACGCCGTCGTCGTTGAGCGGAGTGCACCGCAGCAATACCCTTCCGTCGAAAATGGCTCCTCCTATGCAGCGCAGGGCCGTTCAAGAGTCCGCCACTGGCAATACCACGGGACCCGCACCGTCCGCCAAGCCGAGCCCGTCACCCAGTCGGACACCTCCCTCCACGGAGGGCAACAACCACATTCGTATTCAGGTTCCTTCAGGCACTGATGGGGCATCGGTGATTGGTACATCTGGGATGGCATACGTCCATTCGGCCACTCATGGACCCATTCCCAAGCGTTTCGCAGGGCATGTCACCGTCCCTGAGCCCCAACCTCCCCGCGAAGCATCCGTCTCCCCTCCCCCTCCTGCGGTAGTCACTCCAACCAAGGAACGTAAACTGTCCAACTTCTTTTCCAAGTCTCCACCACCCAGCGGTGAGCAGCGACAACCGAACCGGTTGAGGAAAAAGCGGAGTCCGGGTAGTGTCTGTGAGAGCGCCCAGAGCTCATCTCAGTCCCTTCAGGGCGTCACTGCTGACAATATTCCCCGCACCGTGCCTCCAGAGAATGGAGTAGCGGCAAACGGTGCTCAGGATGAATCCCACACCAATAACCAGGAAAACGGTACTTCCCAGAGTGAAAACGGACAGACGCTGACAACGGACACTTCGCTGAAGCCACACTCACGAACACCGTCAATGCGCTCGCGCTCGTCCTTCACGGACCAGTCAGATCTCGAACAACTCGACGAGACCGCGCGAGCGGAACGCAAAGAACACCGACAGAGCTGGAAATTTCCCCGTTCGTCTAAACGAAGCAGCGAACAGATCGGTCTCGTGTCGCCTCCCTTGGGAGCGACCAACCCGAGTGCTACTCGCAGCGCCAGTTCAATTGGTAGTTGGCACCAGACCAGCCGCAGCTCACCATCAGACCTCCAACAGTTTGTCAATGACCCAGCGAACCAACCGCTCAGTCTTGACGCCGAACTCAACAATAACGGCTCTCCCAAGGAAATTGAACCAGAGAGGCGAAGTCTGTTTGGAAAGTTCAAAGCCAAGGTCGGGTTAAGTCGCGACGGAAAAGACACCGACTCTCTCAGAGACCGGACGCGGAGTCCAGTAAACTCGGACACCGAAATGTCCGTGTCCAATCTAACGTTGTCACCGCCGCCAAGCAAGGTCAGCAACGGCAGCAAGTCAGCACCTGAAGCGAATGGTCCTGACGAGTCTCCTGTGTCCCCGTTGCCAGGCTCGGGGTTGCCACATGCCATTCCGGAAGAGCCAGGCTCGCCAGAGTCTCCTGTTGCATCGGCTTTTGTTGAGCAAAAGGAGCCTGTTACGAGTGCTCCTGAGTCGGCACCTGCTCAAACTGAGGCCGCCGCTGGGCCACCTAAAGAGCTGAACTAATTGGGTTGTCCCTGTTGACTGGCTTCGGTCAGTGATCATGTCTTATGTCACGTCATTTCCTTTGATGTTTTTACTTGGACACGCGGGTGGCACTTTTGGTTGTTGAATCCTTGTTCTTTTCCTTTTATGTTCTGTTCCTAGGGGTATAATCTGTTTCCTCTATCCCTTCGCGTGTCTTTCATACCCCTCTGCCCTTATTCTTATCCTTACGCTTTGCCATGCGTCACGAATGTATGCTTATGCTTATTTTCTGTTTCTTGTTGCGGTAATCTACACGGATTGGTTGGTTGACTGGTTAGACGGATAAAAACGTAAAAGAGAAGAAAAAAAAAAAAAAAAAAAAAACAAAAAAAACAAAAAAAAAAAGAAAGAAAGAAAGAAAAAAGAGTTAGATAGGAGTCCTCAGGCCTAATTTCTTAATATGTTGTTTTTTTCTGGATTCAATTGTTGGTTAGGTAGGGTTTATGCAGTCAATTGAGTGTCGGTTAGTTATATATCTGTACACGGCATCGAGAAATAGTACTAAGTACTTGTACGGAGTAGCGTGGAAGGCTGTGAGTATCTTCAACTATGGTACTTGAATTGTATACTTCTCGCCGCGATTCTACATGTAATTGTGAAAATTTAACCCATTCCTCTCGAATAGTTATCAGTCTACTTCCTTGGGTCCCAAAATGGCTGCCACACCTCCAAGGCATACCGGAACAATTACCCCAATACGGAAACCCATCCCGTAGATTCTCCGACTCCTGTATCCGCGTCCTCCGCCAAATCACCAGAACGCCATTCATTCATTCAATTCAGTCCAATCCCATTCTACAACAATCGACAGGGCGCACGCCCAAGTGCCTCAACAATGACTTCAACACCCCCCTCCCCACCACACCGCACCGGTACATCCTCCTCCTCATCCTCAAACCCAACACAATCACAATCAAACGCATCCGCATCCGCATCCACCCAAGCACCACCCCCGAAACCCCCAGCGCCGGCCATGAGTGTTCTCCCCGGGCAGCTCGCGCGGGTGTACTCTTTTGCGCATCCGGTTCTATTACTGGGTTTGTTGGCGGTACGGTTTGGCAAGTTCGTGGAAGACCCGGTTAGTGAGTTATTGGGTGATTTGCCCGTGTTGGCGGGTTTGCAGGTGTTGTATGCGGTGGTTTGCTTGCCGCCTGCTGGTGCTCCATCATCGAAGGGGAATACAGGGGAAGCGAGTTCGAGTGGGAGTGAGGGTACGGTTTTGAGACCGGGGAGAGTTGGACTGCGACGGAAGCATGCGAAGGAGGTTGGAATATCCGTGAAAGTGGTTGTACGTCTCCCCTCGCCTTTACACCAAATGATAGCTGAATACTATACTAACAAGAACAGCCCGCATTGATCTCACTGACACTAACAACCCTCCTCGCAACCCCTATCCTCTCAATCCTCCTCGTCCTCTTCGGCGCCCCGTTAACAACACACAACCTCGAAACGCTCCTCTGCGCAGCACACATGGCCGTCCTCTCCGCAACAGCACTAGTCTACGTGCACGGCGTCGACGGGAGTACCTGGCGGGAAGTCTGGGGCGTGGGTCGGCCTGCGGATGCGGTTTGGGGCGGAGCGCTGGGGACGGGCGTGGGTGCTTGGTTTGGGGCTGTGCCTATTCCGTTGGATTGGTAACCTCCCCCCCTTTATTTGATTTGAGGTAATGCTGATGAATGTAGGGACCGTCCGTGGCAAGCGTATCCTATTACTATCCTGACTGGTGCGTATATCGGGTACGCGGTTGGGTCGTTGATTAGTCGGTCGTCGTGGTTGTACGGGAAGAGGATTCAGTTTACGCCCGAGGTTGAAGAGGATATGGATAAGAAGACTGAGTAAGTGACTTGAATTGGGTACTTATTATAAACAACCTCATTGTACTGTATGTAGATTAGTAGTAAATATAATCAAATCTATCAGCTTATTGACAGCGTTTGTAACTAGTAAAGCATTCAAAATTTAAAACCAGTGTACTGAGATCTATTCAATCACAAATAAAGCAATCTATCTCGTGTATCTATAGACAATAAAAATCAATATATTCAATATATCCAGTCATGAATGAATGTAAAGCCCGCTGAGAATGTAACAAGAAGTGAAGTATGAATCGAAGAGAAGAAGAAAAGAAGTGATGAAGAAAAGGGAAAAAGGTAGCCCTGGGCTAGAATAATAAACAAAAGAAGCCATGGAAAACCGAAGAAAAGCCCCCCACCCCCCCTCCCGGGGGGGAAGAAAAGAAAGGAAAGACAATTGGGGTATAGGTATACAGGACATTAAGCGAAGAGGGTATACGGCAAGGCATTAAGGAACAGACTCAATCAGTCGCAAGGATAAGTAGATGTAGTCAGTCATATCATGCCGGCGATCTCGACCCGACGCTCCAGCTTGCGCAGCGCAAGATCGTTCTTCGAGTCCCGCTCCAGGTCCGTGCCGGTGCCACTATCATAATGCGGATGTGGGATGATTTTCTCCGTTCGTGGGATGTAGTTGGTGTTCGACTGCGGGGACGAGTGAGAGTCCACCGGACGAAGACGATAGGGCTCTATCGAGTCCGCGCTTTGGATCGGGTACATAGTGCCCACGCTCATGGCCATTGAGTCGCGGGCCATTTTCTGGAGTTGTTGGACGTCGTCGCGGAGAGTGGAGACCTGGCCCTCGAGGGATCTGCGGGCGGATTGTTCTCTGCGGAGGAGGGTGACTAGGGTGCTGTATTGTTCGATGGAGATGCTGGATGCGCCGTCGAGGTGTGGTGGGGAGGAGGGTGGTTGGTATGTGCGGGATCGGTGGAGGTTAGGGCGGACGGTGCCGGTGCTGACGGGGCGGTCTTCTGAGATTCTGGGCGAGTTGCTCGAGCCGGTTGCAGGGGAGAATAATGGTGCTGGTCGTCCGTCTGGCGCTAATGGTTTCTTGGATGCGGATTTGGCTGTTGGCGAGGAGTCGCATCGTTTGTCTTGTATGCGCGCAATGGCGAATTCCAGATCGATGAGTTTAACCTCCAGGGTTGTCACGCGTTGTTCGATAGTCAGGTTGTCGTGGTTTTGCATCGTGTGTACTAGATTGCCAACACTTGGTGGCACACTTTCGACCTCAGTTTGTTGCTCTGCATCATTAACTTCGGGTGCATCACAAGGCTCATCTGGCTTGAACAGACTGGCAACCGTGTTCCGCGTAGGAGGTCTGAAGGAGAGCTCGCTGTCAGAAACTGCTCCAAACGCAGGCGAGCCTAGGTATGTGATTTCCGTACTGCGCCGCGTCCATTGAATCGGAGACATGCGGTGTTCGTTAGCCTTTCTGCGGAGGGAATTGGTGCTCCGTGAGCGTCGCTTGTTGCGCAAAGCACGGCGCACTCGCAGGTTTTCCGGTTCTTTTCCTGTCTCAGGGCCACTGTTTCCTTTTTCATGACAGTCCTCTTCAGAAAACACTAGACTGGGGAGGGTATTTCGTCGTCGGTGTACCGGCAAGGGGTCCAATTTGTTCAGGTCCATCAAAGTAGGACGAAGGTCCTTCTGCAGCGGGCTATTTTTCGTTCCAAGAGAGGTAGGCTGCGCGTCTTTGCGACTGTGACTTTCGGATTTCCGCGGTAGCGAATTACTAGGACGAGGACTGTAGGATTCCATGGCAGGACCCCCCTCCAATTCGTCCGTCTGATTGCGCCTCTTGCGATGGAATATCTTTCGCATAACCGTTCTCAATGTACTCTCGCTCCGACGATGCATTCCGGGCCCTCTGGCAATCATGTTCGATACCGGGTCGTGTGTGGTCTGAAAAGGCGCCCCTGGTTGTTGCATCCCGCGGAAGTTTCCAATAATCGCTGTTGAGTCGGGTCGGTATCCAGGTCGACGACGGCTGAGGGACATGTTTTGCGACTGAATGGGGGGTAGGGCGGTGTCGTATGAGGGATCCATTGCTTGGGCAGGGCCGCTGCCGTTACTCCAAGTCGCTGACATTCTATTGTTCGGTATCAATCGCACGGCGCATGGATCGTGTTCGGGATCGGGGTAGGTAGTTAAGCGAGCGTGTTGTAGGATAGTGAAGGTGTGTAACGAGCGTCGAATAAACAAATAAAGGGGTCTATGACTTGTCAAGTGGTCTGGGTGTTTGTTGTCAGATCTGTTGCAACGAGGTCTAGGTCTCAGGACGGAAAAGCGTCAGTAGAGGCCGCGAACAAGTGTAACCTGGCCCAACTCACCAAGACGGTCAAAATGAGCGGCATAAAAAAAAAAAAAAAAAAAAAAAAAAAAATCAAATCAAATCAAAGAACGTAGAGATTCCTCAAAGCAAATCCATCCCGATACCAGTAGGGAAGGTCAACGTTGTCGAGGCCAGCCTAAGACGTAGTGGGGATGATAGTATGGCAGGCACTATAATAATAGAAACACCCCTGTAATAATTCCCCGAAAGGTAGTAAAAAGCGAGAGCGACGAAGAGAAAGAGCAAAACGAGTGGTCTTCAAGAAAAAAAAAAAAAAAAAAGAAAGAAATGGACGCGCTTGTCATATAAAGCCGACCAGGATGATGGATGATCGCAGCAGGTGTTGAAAGAATGTCGTCGGCCTCCACTACAGCAGAAGGACCAAATCTGGACTTCAAACAGAGCCCGGTGAAAGCCAGGAATATCCAGAATGGTTGAATCCCCCGAGAGATCTCAAACCACAACGTCAAAGAACCGCATTGATTCGGGCAGCATGACCGATTCGTTCAGGGGAGAAGGAAGGACTATGGGATACTGCAGAGAGTCAGAGTCAGTCAAAAGCAGCTAAAAAAAAGTGCAGAAAATTTAAAAAGACAACACACCCGATGGAGACACTTGGAGCAAGCAGGAGCAGAATGGCCATGAGAGAGAGTCCTGGAGAGTGTCAGGATGGAGACCGATCCGCACCGTCCGCCAAGTGGCCGAACGGGTGTTTTAACTGCTGGTTTGCGTTTCAGGTCGAATCCTGCGTATATTCTGTTGAGAGCACAGAGTACTTGGACTTGTACACAGTAATATGAGAGTTAAGTATTCTCTCATGGGTATATGGCTTGTCAATTAATCTCTCTTCTGAAATATTCTTCTCACATTCTCGAAATATACTGTGCAGTCTGTCTGCACTCTCACATGAATGACAGATCAGGCACAGCTGCATCGGACCCATACATTGGGGGGATTGGATCCATCTCGGAGACCGTACCAGAACCATTCCCCCCTCCTCCTCTCTCTCCCGGCTAAAACCCACGTATCCGTCCCGTTACTCCTTTGTCCTCTCCTCCCCGGAATCTCATTTTCGGCCATTTTCCCATTCCGGAAGCAATTTGTCCCCGGAGGTCCATTACCACGACTCAATCACGATATCCGATCGTGCTATCGTTTGAGACCGGCCATATACCGACCTCGATCGGCAGTTGCAACGTCTACTCCCTGGCCACTGACTGGCACGCCGGCGGTAATCTGAAACTTCATGTCCGGTGGGTTTAATTTAACTAACCAACTTGTGCTTCTGCTGGGGTCTTGTTTTGAGGCAAAGACGTCAGGTTAGGGAAGGGGAACCCGCTGCCGCAAAAAGTAAATCTGTATACGGAACACGGCAGGCCAAGTCGGGTTCACTTTGGCACCGGTGTCTGGGGAAAGCTTAAGATAGCATCTCGTTCCTTTGTTTAAGGTCGACTTACTCGACAAATGTTCCATCCGCCAATTGGAGGGTCGACTGCTGCCGCAATTGACGCCAGGAACAACCGCGACACGGATACTGCTGCATACATACTCCGTATTCATACATTGCTAAAACTATCGTATAGTGTCTATTTTAATTTGATCGGCGCGAGATCAACACAATGTCTCACTGCTGACTATCACCAAGACGTCCGTCCCTCGTCAGCGGTCCCCGACCGTGATTCGTATTGCACCGTGACGTTGTCCGTCCGGCGAATCTGGCTTAGTACAAGTTCTTCCGGGCGGAGGATGCTTTCCTGGCTTTCCACGTTGGTGATCGTGAGATCTGGTTTCTGGGAATTGGACCGTTTACTTCGGTTGTAGGATGCACCGGGCATGCTGTTGCCGCTGTTTTTGCAGTTGTCCCTGCTTGCGCTCCAGGAGCGTAGGGATCGTCTTCCGAGGATTATTTCGAGTAGAGGGTGTAGGGTGGGGATGCAGGAGGCCATGATGACGACGTTGGATTCGATACTACACGGTTTGATGAGAATCAATCTTGATCTGGGAGCTAGGCACATACCATGTCCAAATGACGAGCTCTGCGGTGGCATCTGTAACTTCAGATCAGCAACAGTCACTTTATACAGACGAAGAGAAACTCACACGTCGGATCCGTTTTGTTGGAAAGACCAGGCAATTGCAAGCACTTGACAATAGCCATAGCACACGCTCTGCGAATAATCAGCATAGTTGACATCGATATTCACCACTATACTCACACTGAACCGAGTCCCAAAGCCAAACACAAGGCGATCTTCTTCCGCGCGGACATATTAAGCCGCAAGAGCACAACACTCGGATAAATCGCAAGATACAGATCTGTGAACGCAGAGAATGCTAGACACGTTAGGGTTCATCATGCTCTTCTTTCGCAGATTTGGGTAAGTCACCACCCGTAAAAATAGCATAATCAATCAAAACCCAAACATCCCGACAGGTCGCACCCTGCATAACCAACGAAGTATCCCACAACGCCTGTGGTGGATCACACATCGTGAACAGCACGATAATGCAAACGCCCGATGTCAGCGCTACCAAACCCGTCAATATCCACAGCGCCGCTTTTTGCCACCAATTTGGATTCACGATGCGGTTTAATAAAGCTGCGACTGCGAGTTTGGGGAGCGAGAAGGAGACGATACCTAGTGTGAAGTCGATATAGTTGACGAGGGATACTTTGACGAGACGTTCGGGGGATAGGGTATCTGCGTGTTGGCCGTATCCGAATGCTACGTTTGCTGTTGTCACGGAGGTGTATGCTAGGCTCATAACCTTTTGAAGAATTGGTTAGCGTTGTTTCTCGCGAACGATACTATTCTGTGGACTGAACTCACCATCGACGCTGCAATCAACCAGTCATCCGATCCCATGTTTCTCAACACACCGGCTCGAATGTACAGTCTCGAAATGACCATCACCAAAGTAAGACCGGTCATCGCCCAGAAGACACCAATGATCTTTGGGCCTTTGGTCTGACTGAGATATTCGACAGAATGAGAAGCCATGGTGCAGACTATGGAAGACGAGACATCGACGTCTGGAAGAAAAAGAGAAGGACCAGGGAACAGGGAAAAGTGGACGATATTCCTGACACGGAAGCCTCTAGACTACCATGTTCATGGGCAATGAAGAGTTTTCTATTTTGAAGGACCACGCTATCGCAATCCGAGCCAATGTCGATACTTGCAGTCCATGCAGAGCACCTCAACGACAAGGGGTGGCCGAAAGGAACTAAACATGCAGGACATCCAACAACATCCAACCTGGAACGCCATTAGACACCATGGTCGGGAAGAACGGTTGATCCTTTGTCATATACCCTTAGCTGCAGGGGAAAAGACATCGCAATTGGATACTCTGTCAACCAATGGGTTCAACGGCGCCATCAATGTCAATCCCTGTATCAGGGACATTTCTAGATTGATAATGTTTTCCTGCTGTTAGACCAATAGACCAAAGTGCCAAAGTGCCATGACTCGACATGATTCCAGTCTGTAGCCACAGGTATAATATGCAAACCCGCCTGAGTCAACCTTTCCTGGCGCATGACGTTGGACCGGTCATTTTACCTGTCATGTTATGCAGCTAAAATATGACGGACCATGGTGGCAGTACTACCAGTATGAAGTATAATTGCACGAATTATACCTACTCTTGATGGAATAGGAAGTACCAAGAGTATTACCCCGTCTTGGTACATCCTTGTATGTCCCCACCATCTTCCATCCATAGCGAGGCTCTGTATGAAGCATGGGCCAATCGCGATCAATGTTGCATCGCCGGGATGTGTCCCGACCACGCCATACAATAACTACTCGTGCGCATGGACAGTGAGATCAGTGGTTTGTCGGGGGGGGGGCATATCAGACCGTCCGCGCCCGGTCAGGTTTAATGATATTTGCTCGTTGGTATTTATTTCCCAACCCGGTTAAGTACTGGCCGTTGACGATATTCCTTCTTATTAGCCGAGCCGAGATAAATGGGGAGAGTGACCTTACTCCGGAGTATCCGTACAGTATATCAGTGCACTGCGCTCAGAGTACTGTGCGCCTGTACTCGATGAACGATATTCCGTGCATACCTCGTATAAATGCCCCGTATGATTATGCAGCAAATATGTCCGAATTACGAGGCATCACCGGCACATTACTTCTGTAAATCGTGACCGGAGTTGGTAATAAGCGAATCCTTCGCTTCCACCACAGCCGAAGAGGAGAAAACAAGCACTGACAGTTAAACGAGACCCCACTCTTCTTCGGATTGTGGTCCGTTCGACGATCGTCAATCCGCAATGTTGGCGGCTTGCATAATTTTATTCAGCCTTTTCTTTCTCTGTCACTGTACTATGTTTTTGTTGTTACTCGACAGGTTTATCTCGGGTGTTGTTTGATGCCCCTGGCAGGGATCCTGCACCCGCCAGTCAAATAATTGAGGCATTTAACGTTCTATGAACCGGCTTAGGGTTGGACGGCTGTATCCGAAGGTGCTGTCAACGTACGGAATAAGGATCCGTGCTTTTGTCATAACAAAAGACTCGCTCCCAATGTTCTGGTGGTGGCTCAAGCCAGATATTGGAATAAACGCATAACTCAGAAAGTGAACAAAGAAATTGAACAAAGAAAGAAGGTTCTGATATATCAGATGTCCTATTCATCCTTTTAATGACTCGCATGCTGGTTGTTCCCGGACCGGATCGTCTCAGATGAATTTCTTGCCGCAGCATCCTGCATGTCCGGAGTAGAGATTACGACTGCAACCTGAATAATATGACACGGAGAAAGCTTCGAGCGATTTGCTGGCCAAGGAAACGGTCTGTAATTCATTTGTTCTCCACGCTCCTTCCTCCCTGCCCTCGTAAAGCTTACTTCCACCGTTTGTTGATGGATATGTCGGCCAATGGTCCAGAATTTTCCTATCTCGTATGACGTCTGCATATGAGGATGGAGGATCCTTCGTAATCAGGGGCTATGAGGATGGAATTTATATTCTTATCCGGCTGAGGATTCCCGAGTGTCGGTTGGAGGCTCTATTCCACTGATATATCGACTCACTCTTTCATTACCCTTCCCAATATTGTCCTGCCATCCAGATACCTCACCATGACCGTCCTAGCTGCAACACAGAGCAAAAATGGCCATGCCAACGGAACAGCGAATGGCCACAGTAAAGAAACATCACCTTTCATGAACGACCAAATCCCCATCTCTCCGAGCGCTCCTCAAGAAGTTCCTGGATTGCTCGACCAAATATCTTCACATGGAGATGCCTTCCTTAACGCCGACCCTGATGCACGGTTGAAACTGCTGGAGGATGCTCGGGCATTGGTCAACGCTCTTGAGACTCCTCGTGAGTCGATGATTAGATATTGCTGGGCGCAGGTTTGTGGCCTTACTTATACCAGAAATGGAATAATCGCTCATAGGCCGCCTTGGAACAGTCAACGATCTACGCGGCCATCGAGACCGGCGTCGATATTGATCTCTTCCACAAACTGTCGCGCAATGACAGGCCCAAGTCTGCTGCGGAGTTAGCAGAGGACACGGAGTGCGATCCAGTTATGCTGTGTAGGTTCCCGGAGCTTCAACTTGCCTTCTGGGATTCGTATACTGACTGTATCAGCCCGGCTACTCAAACATCTTGCCGCAATGGGGGTGATTGGAGAGGCTGGACCGGATCTGTACTGTCGTACGGGCTTCACGATAGCCCTGTGTTCGGAAAAGTACAGCGACGGTTTCCCTCTTATGTATGTACATGTGACTATAGTCCACCCAGATGCAAATGCTAACCCGCCTGGCACAGGACACGTCGATTCACAGCTGGCATCCACGCTCTCCCTGCCTACCTGAAGAAGAACGGCTACCGCAATCCCACCAAACCTACAGACACCGCACTTCAGCTCGGATTCAACACAGACCTCCACTTCTTCGAGATCGCGAAGCAGGATCCGGTCACAGCCAGACAATTCAACAACCACATGTCCGTATACAGTGTTGGACGGCCGAGCTGGATGGATGTTGGCTTCTTCCCGGTACAGGAGCGGCTTATCGAAGACAGCAATATTACCAATGACGATGCCTTACTTGTCGACATGGGCGGGAGTATCGGTCACGATCTGTCTGAATTCAAGCGGAAGTGGCCTGACGCCCCGGGACGCTTGATTCTGCAAGATCTTCCGACAGTAGTCTGCCACGCACAAGGTTTAGATCCCGCAATTCAGGTGACGCCGCACGACTTCTTCACGCCCCAGCCGGTTAAAGGTACGTCTCTTTCCCAGCCTCTCCATTTGTCCCATAATTAATATCCAAACCAGACGCACGAGCATACTACATGCACTCTGTCCTCCACGACTGGCCCGACGACATGTGCCGCAAGATCCTGGCAAATCTGACCCCAGCCCTCCGCTCCGGATACAGCAAGGTGTTGATCAACGAGAACGTGATCCCAGACAAGGGCGCTTACTGGGAAACGACCAGTCTGGACCTGATTATGATGGCGATCGGATCGGGAGAGCGGACGGAGCGACACTGGCACAAGTTGTTGGAATCGGCGGGATTGAAGATTATGAATATCTGGACGGCGCCTGCGCAGAAGGGGGTCGAGAGTCTGATTGAGTGTGAGTTGGCGTAGTCTGCTGCCTTGCAGGTTTAATTACCATTTATTAGTATAATAATAATTCTTCTGCCTCTTGGGACACTGTATACATGAATAGAGATGAAAAGTAAGAGAAACTCACGAATATAGCACCTGTAGGCGATGAGGTGAAAAGTTGAAGAAGAACGCGAGGGTGGAGAGGAGAGAAGGACAACAACTAACCGAAAACGGAAGGAGGGAGGGCTGACGACACAATGAAGTATAACCGAATTGCTACATATTTCCTTAGGAATAGTACGCGGGAGCAATGCTTTATAGTAGTATGTATTTGGTCCACATTGAAGTGAGTATGAAATACGAAACCGCGTGCGTAGTTTTCTAAATCAACCCTTCGTCCCGGACCTCCACCACATCTTCGTTCGCCTCGAGCTTACCAGCAAGGCCTTCAGATCCTCTTAAACACCATTTTTGTTAGCTACTTTCACATTCGGATCTTGTTTTGAATCAATACATACTCGAACGTAAGCGCCGGAGCGGAAAGCCGACGCTGAGGCAGTTCTTTGCCACCATTGTCATTGATTTGCCTAATAGGGTGAGCAAGAGACGTTTAACAAAACAAGGGAGAAATAACGTACGTGCGAGACCACGACATGCCTGAACCAGTCAGGAAACATATCATATACCTATGATTCTGGTGCATGTGGATGTTAGCTCGATTCTTGTGTCTGACATCCACTGGTGTAACCAACCGCCATAGCTGAGAGAATGAATAAAGGCTTATGTTGAGTGGAATAACGTGGATGATGCATTCAGGAAATAGATATCCCGTGGAATATATATGGTGTTGTTGCTACGATGTAATCAGCATGTCATGCAAATGGTCAGATCCGGGGAACGAAACCGTGGCTTGCCAAAAGGAACCAGAAAGGTTTCCACGGCTTGCTCCTATTCTTGTATTTCCATTGCTAGATCTGCTTTTGTTCCCTTCTTACGACCGACTGTATGGAAATGCTTGAAGTCATCGTCTATCGGGTCCTGCTTCTAGTAGAAACTTAAGTACAAGAAAGAGTAAGCGCGACGAAAGTCTGGATGATTTCCGCCATGTGTTCGGCATTCGAAATATTCCATGGGCTGTACGACAAGGTTTGGAACCAAAGGACAGGCGCATGGATTCGTAACGGCAGAGTTCCGCTGGGAGCAAATGGCGAAGCGCAAGTCATATCTTCCATGAATGATACATATCGGAACTCTAGGAAAGGCGCCATTGGGTCCTAGTTGCCCACCCGAGGACACAGAGCGCTATCTGTTTCCAGTGCCATTTTGCTCATATGCTGTGGGAATATTTTCTGGTCGGTGCATCCCCTTTGCGAAAACGTGCTAACAATGCATTGGCGTATGCACACAGGACATCATCTCGGCATGGCTCGCCTATTTCTGAAAATCTGCCAGGATGTACTCTTGGAAAGCTGTAATATCCGCCCAAGGTCCCGGCCAGCGGTCGTTGTCTTTATACACTGATATGTAACGAACTGCGCACTCTTTCTGAAATCCTGACGTTTGACGATCCTCAGGCAGGTCTGATGGATTTTTGAGGTGTTTAGCACTAGTTGCTAAATCGTCACAGTCGTCTATATCTGCTGGGATGTATAATCTCTGGCCTTCTCCAGGGTCAAGTCGGTTCCTTCGCTTTTGACTGCTTGGACATGTTGGAGTATCGTGTACAGTTAATTCAAGAGCTGGGAAGAGAAAGGTCACAGTGAATGGCATGTTTATATGTGGGGTTTTTTCTTTGTCCCCAGCGGACCAAGCTTGAGGAGTAGGCATCCATCTCATTCACTCTCAACTCTCTTCTCAGTTGCTATCTAGGTTCACCGTGGCTAAACAAATTAATCCCTATTCCTCCTCGTTGCAACCTCTGCTGGAAATCCTTCTTACTACCCAACACGAAATGGCCCATCAGTTCATCAGCGATTTGAATGCAATCCGGACGAGTGTAATATATAGGAGCAGAAATGCAGATAGAAAGAGGGGGCAATGAGGAGTGGTGCCTGTTCCGTATATCGGAGGCCATTACAGGCATCTTCCAATGAGTTAAGATAGACGTATTAATAGAGATGATATCGACCAAGGAGAAGCACCACTCCAGAGTAAGATCAACATCTAAGGCCGATGTATTGATGATAGAAATCACTATGAGGATGATATCTATCCATCGAAATAATTCACGTGTTCTTTAGCTATTCTGTGACAAATGCGTGGATTCTGTCGCTTTAAAGTACATACATTGAGGAATGATCTAACTAGTACGAGTATGCCCAGTACTTTAGTCTCTACGAGACATACACATGCAAGCTCATCTATCGATGTTATGATAGTTACTAAATCGGGCTAGCGCGAAATCGGTACAATTTCCCCCCGGATTTGCAACCCCCACGTGCCGATCTGAATCTGACAGTGTTCCTGAATCTTGAACCCTGATACAACATACTTTAACCCATTGACACAGAATCATGTTGCTCCTACGACCTTTTCCAATTCTACTTCTCACTTTTTTCGCCATATTCGCACTCGCCACTGGTAAGTTACCCCTTTTTCACCATCAGAGTATCCATGGTTAACTTCTTGCTCTGTTTATGCAGCCGGCCTACTCCTTCACCGCCTCACCGCCTACGACAAACCACACTGCGCGGGTTGCATCGGCTATGCTCTGAAAGTAAACAGTATGATCGACGACGCTGGGGATAATGTCCGCGGAAATGCGCAATTCTTCCGATACGCAGTGGATAAGGCCTGTGCTGGCCGGTTGTTGAATGGTGGCCGATGTCTGGAGCACCGCAGAGGGCTTCTCAGGGATAAAGCGAGATATTTTTACGGAATTGAGGATCCATATGCGGCTTGTCGGGCTATCAGCGCCTGCTAGTGCGAGTGGGCGCTTGGTGTACATATACAGTGTACGGGATGCTGCCGGCTTCTGCGATTAAGGATCGGGAGCTACGCGTTGGTCTGGATGCTCTGGAAAGGACAACGACAGATGGTATACCGCGGGGCTTTCATGTCTAGCAACAACCCAATGATATCATAGATACTATAGCTTCGAAAACTCAACGGTTCGGACCGGTCCGTCAACCCTACTACCACGACAGCTGCGTCAGTAAATCAAGCATCCTCCGCTCCTCCGCTGCAATCTGGGACAACCTCTTCCCCACCGAAAGTGTTGCCAACAGGACTATTTGTCATGTGCTGCACGAAAGCATTGATCCTCCGACTCCGAGTGACATTATCCATATGTTCAAAATTGTAGATTTGCGATTTCCAAGCCCTAAGACTGGGCCCATCGAAGTACGCCTGGAGAGTTCTTCCCTTAAGGTTCTCCATAAAAGACAAGGCGAGAATCTAAAATGTGAAACTTTTTAGTAAGAGCTAGATGAAAGGGTCCTATGGAATGGACTGGGAAATGGACTGGGAAATAGACTCTTACCGGAATGTATACATGCGCCTCCGGATACAGAGTTTCCATCCTGGTTATTATAGCAGCCAAGATAATCAAGACCTCACCGCGAAGAAGCTCTTCCTCTGGTTGATCCATTTCATGTCTCATTATAAGCATGACATGAGTATCGACGAAGGATTCAACAGGACACCAAGACGGGTGCCGTGAAAGGTACAGGGTTTCCATAAAGTGTTCTGCAAAGATGATATTCCTCTCAGAGCCGCTATACACAGACATAGATATTAGCCATGGTCTTGATTATCGACGTTTCCCCTCTTTCTGCGGAAGGGAGGGGGAACACATACCCTGATAGAATCCATTTAGTCAGAGACCGAAGGCTGTGCCTATCGCGTCTTGTCCTTAATCTTGGATATGAGCAAAACTCCCAGGATATCTCATTTGCAAGCATCTGTATACTTTCATGACTTGATAAATTGTGTGTATATTCCTCAATCAAAGCACGAACAGCTTTGTGGTAATTATAATTCCCATCAGGCGAGAAATTAGTAGGAGAGTCATTGATATTCGACATGCTGGGGTCGAAGAAACAGGGGCTCGGTATCTCATTGTAGAAACCATTGTCCTGCAACTTCAACTCTTCTTCTCTTACTCCTGAAGCGTTGGCTGTGACAGAATCCAAAATGACAGGCGCAAGCTCCAATCGATCAAACATACCCTCCAGGTTAGAGATAGCGATCAATGATTTGCTGTCTGGTAGCCAGTGGTGGAATAACTGTCTGAGGCCGGGGTGGTACAGAACGGTTTGGATTGACGTTTTGGACATGGCGTAGGTGTGGCTGATAAGCATCAAAGGATAGAGACAGATGGAAAGAGAAGAAACGGAGTGTGATTAATTCAAAGGAGAATTAGAACTGATGCCCACACCTCCAAGCTTGGTTCTCCATAGGCTTCTTCGTGAATAACGGAGGTGTCCATTGGTGGTTAGGCTTCCAGTTGTTTTTCCGTTGGTGAGCTTCTATGTTTGTATTCTGTCGTAGGATCGGATACAAATGTCCAATTACAAGCCGACAGAGACCTATAAGTATCAATCATAACCAGAATCATCACGATATCGTCGCTAGTTTGATTGACATTCTTGTGCCAGCTACTCCGCAGTGTAACCGGGGCCTCATGGCAACGGCAGGTGTCTACGGTACAGAAGGAATATGATCGGGTGATGTTTAAGCTATCGAAAAGAGTGATGAACGTTCCATCTTTCCTTCGCGCTGCCCTGCTTCCGGCTAAATATACACGAGACGGATGGAACCATGTATCTCAACTCGCATCATACAGCGAGATTGAATGCTGATTATAGGAAGTCAAAGGCTGGAATACCGGGAATGTTGGCGAGAATCCGCGATTGTAGCAAAAAGTGCCGAGAAACGCTGCAAGAAAGGAGATTATGAAGATCCGAAGAGAGGACATTCTCCTAAGCGCTATATAATTGCATGGAAACACGGCTGACATCCTTTATATTGCGTAATGCCAATCGATTCACGTGATTCGGAATTCGGTCAATTACAACTTCGTGAACTTTCACCACTACAGAGTAGTCAAGAACCGCTTGTGCACGCCAATCATGGCTCGAACTTGGAAGACTGGATACCCCGCACATCGGGAGCAAAAAGGCAAACATGAACCAATCCAGGGTCTCCCGGTTACCCCGACAGCAGATCATTGTCGCTTCAGGTCAATCCCGAAGGATTGACCTGCAGCACGAGGCTGAGCAGCCTTGGTGAGAGCATGGCTCAGAATGTGTGATAAAAATATCATAGATTTACCTATTAAACATGGCGATGCCAGCACTGATCTTTGAAACGGACACTCTGCTCTCCTTCAAGCCCATGAGAAATGGAGCCAAACGCCATGGACCAGTCGCCCTTGTCGCCCCAATCAATAAGCCGGCCTTGGTATTGGCCATTTGGCAAGCTCAAGTACGATCAAATACGAAATCATGGAAAGGATATTGAAGAATATGAACTTGGTGGGTTAGTATATTGGGCCCACTGAAAGGATTAAATCCTATTGAGACTAATATACCACAGGGCCTGTCATTCTCTGGACAAAAGTAACAGTGAATCCAATACGTCTCTGATATCACAATTCACCCTCTGTCTGCCTCAAGGTTTTGCCAAAAGAGTAGACCAGAGGGTCCGGCGAGAAGAGCGCCAGCAACGGGAATGGGTGATAGGTGTTCTCATTTGCGCATTTTGTGCTTCCATCATTCTATTCTTGAACATATCCCTGACTATTGCTGCGGTTGCCCTTTCTTATTCAAAGTTTGGGGGTCAGGGATTTACTTCTGCCATGCTTTACCACGGAGATTGTGACGTTTCAAAAAACTGGGTCCGTGGCCTGCATTTGCTGATAAACATCTTCAGTACAATTATGCTAGCAGCAAGTAACTACTGCATGCAATGTTTAAGTTCACCATCTCGCCAAAATGTTGAAAGTGCCCACACTCAGCGGAAGTGGCTCCATATTGGTGTGCCCAGCACCAAGAATCTGCGCTTTGTTGGCTGGAGAAGATGTGTGCTCTGGATTGTGTTGTTGATATCTTCCCTGCCAATTCATTTAATGTTAGTTTTGGACTTCTTCTCTCTCACAGTTTGTTTCTAATTATGAAATATAGTTACAATTCTGCTGTGTTTTCTGCATTAGGCACACATCAATATGGTGTTTTCCTCGCATCCGCAGATTTCGATTTTAATCACCCACCAAAAGATGGCCCTGATTATGCAGGTTGCTTTGAACATGACTTTTCTATGGATACTCACGCTTTCTACTCCAATGTATCAAAATTCCAATCACTTGATACACAGGAATGTCTCGATACCTATGCTGCCGACTATCTTGCAAATCGAGGGACTCTCGTTCTCGTCACTAACAATATGACTGTGGATAATGGATATTTGCGTTGGGTCGGTATGGGAAATTCGCCACAGCAATACTCGTCAAATTCGTTTTCGTGGATGTGTGAGAGCGAGCCGGGTTATCCTAGCGTCACTTACGAAGTAGTAGACGATCCAAAAAACTGTATGAAATATCCTTGTTTGAATAATTGCCTAAACGGGCAATGCAGAGTGGAATGCCTTGGCGATTGGTCCGCATCCTCGATACCTTGGTCAGCTCCTCTATTGAACGTGAGTCTTTTGTCGGGTATTCCGTATAATCTCAGCTTTAATATCTACCGAGACTATATAGCGACTGACCACTCTGCTCTCGGTGAAAAGGAGGACCCTTCGAATCTCATCGATTTCTTACAAGGGTATCCGCAGGCAAACGAACTGCAACAATATCTTAATGATACAACTCGCTGGAAAAACAGTTCATGGGCAAAGAATACTGAAATCCACGATACGGAATTTGCGTGTGCTCTGGAGACCGTGGACCCGTCCCCCTCTGCCGTCTCGGTCGACTATTGCTTAAGCCAAGAAGTTGATGAGAAATGTCAACTGTTATTTAGCCCTCCTATATGCCTCACCGTTATTCTGTGCAACATCATCAAGATTTTTTGTATGCTCATGACAGCACGTGATGATAGGAAGGAAATATTCTTAAGAGTTGGGGATGCCATATCATCCTTTCTCAGAAGACCTGATAGGACTACTAAGGACAGATGCTTATTGTCAAGGAAGACCATTTCTGGAAGGGGCCCATATATTTGGCAGCTGGCTGATCAATACAGATTACCACCTCAGCCTACAACTTTCTGGCCTCGGAGGAGAAGATGGAAAAGCGCTACGGATGGCTCAAATTGGGGGTTGCTTCTCTTCTTGTAGGTATTCCTCGCTTGCTTCCCCCCTTTCCTCTTTTTTTAATCACTAGTGAGCACCTCTGACTTGTCCAGCTGGCTTTCACTCGCTCTTGCGTCAATTGGTTTCTTTGCATTCGGCCTTACTGCCTTGTCGAGCAAACTTCAATCCATATCATTTCCAGCACTGTGGAATTTGGGCTTTGGAAGTGTCACCTCGTCTACAGTAATAAACCTTTGTGCCAGTCCCAGCAATTGTTCGGGGATTATGCCAATGGTCCTTCTTGCAAATACCCCGCAGATCATTGTTTCATTTGCATATTTCTTCTACAACAAAATGTTAACCGTCATGCTTCTTGCTGTCGAGTTCAATGACTACGCCGCGGAACGTAAACCACTGCGTGTCTCTTGGCCGAAAGGGCACCAGCGCTCAACCTACTACCTCAGTCTCCCATACCGGTACTGTATTCCGCTGCTGATTACCCACGCAATACTACATTGGCTAGTGTCCCAGAGCCTGTTTTTCGTGCAGGTTATCTTATATGATATGTTTGGAAACCTAACCCCAGAACGTATCGTTGCATGCGGCTATTCACCAATGGCAATCTTATTTGCCCTTATTGTCGGTGCTTCCATGATGATCGTTATTATAGTCCTGGGATTCAGGGACTTCAAGAACAGTATGCCACTTGCCAGCAGTTGCAGCGCCGCGATTAGTGCAGCATGCCATGCTCCGCCTGGCTGTGGCGATGCACTCAAACCTGTTATGTGGGGCGAAGTGTCAAAGTCCCCGGTCAATGACAACCATATGGAAATTAGCGGTCAGGAGGATGACGGGGAAGCCACGGATGTGTCTCGGTTAAATTCGAGAAACCACCGCGCCGATGAAAATTCAGACAGCTACCAAGGGCAGGCAAATGAGAGCCAAGCTCACTTGCTGAGTGAGAACAATGGCGCTGGTGAAGATATCGGCGAGGCCATGAATTATATTGTATCTGGGCTGGATATAGAGAACGAAGGCTTCTTTGAGGAAGTTACACTGGTCGAGAGCAACTGTGGAGATGATGGAACCACGCTTCACTCGGGTACAAGAAGCCACCGTTCCGACGAGGAAAATCCAAACACCACTCAGAGGAAAGGTAATAATGCTCACTTACTGGGCGAAGAAAATGGGTCTGAATATGGTCATTGTTGCTTTTCTTCCTTAGAAGTTACTGCCCCGAGCGCTGGGAAATTATACATGTGAACATTCGGCGGTTGAATGAACGGATCAATCATTGATGATTGGATATATGAATAGACATGGCGGGAATCTGACCTTTTATGAACATTGAACATGTTTGCCATCTCTTTTGTTTCTATTGTGTGTGTGTGTGTGTGTGTGTGTGTTTTTTCGTCGATGTTCGGGTCTTTCCACGCATCCTTGGAGTCTTGGAGCCTTGGAAGTGGAAAAGCCCTGGTCCCGGTGCGGGACATACGACGGACAGATCGGAACTGCCTGTCACCTAGCTAAACTACCATCTATCATCTGAATACAGGTAGCCCCCCGCGCGGGGGGGGCTTGGGTTTTCATGGCTGTCAGCCAGCAAATCAAGCGTATTGGTTTGAAAAAAAAAAAAAAAAAAAAAAAGAACGCGAACAAGAAAGAAGAGTAAAGGGGTACAATAAAGGGAAGATAAAGGGAAGAGAGAGGGAGGGAGACCAGAGGTAGGCCTGGACATCCCTGGATTTGGCGAGTTTGGAGGTCTAATGGCGTCGGCAGATGGCTGTATAGAAATGTGAACTCAACACTGTTTTAACACTAAAAATCCTATCATCTGTCACTGTAAAAATGCACTGAAAGTGAATGTTTGAGCTCTTGCATAGTCATCAACTTTTAGTATCCCCGTCCAACAAGTAAGCCAGAGTATGAAATGAAGAGAGAACTCCTGAAGAGTTTCAACATCTTACTGAGAAGCAGTTTAATAAGAGCACTCAAAGATACTATGAGCTCCGTGGCTTGGTTTCCAGACGCAGAAAGATGTTCAAAATGTAGACAACCTCTGTATATAAATGCATATCCCGGTGTTTAAGAGTGGTCTCCAATTTTTGTGGTGACCTCATCTTTCGATACGGATAAATGGTTTGGCAGCCAGTACTCGAAAATAACTAGGTAGTATTTATTTTGGATCACGAATATGACGCGATTATAGGTGGGTATCTTGTCCAGGTATGTCTGTGTGAGAGTGTGTCTGCGAGAGTGTTTCTATAGAGTTGAATGCCTTGTTAGCGCTTCTCACTAAACTGTCTGCTAAGCCATACTGCATCGAGGTCTTCTGAGTGTTCAACAGTTGTTTGGCCACTCTGTTGGACAAACCAGCATGCGTTCTTTTTTTCTTTTCTCTTTTTTCTCTTTTTTCTCTTTTTCTATTTTGGGATGTACTCCACTTGGTGCAGTGGAGACCCTCTGATGGTCGGTTGATACCTGTTCAACATCACCCATGTTCAACTCGTCCAACACTGCCTCTGAACGTTTTCAAAATCGTCAAATGTGATGTTGGCCTGTCGGTTGTCCATGAAGCTGCGGATCCATCGCCTTGCTAGTGTTGGGATGCCTTTGGCCTGTAGCCGGGCATCAAGACTGATCTTGTTGACCCCGTTGAAAGCACCTTTGAGGTCAATTGAAATTAGTGTGACCACCTTGGACCGGAGCCATGCACGGTCAATGGCGTTCTCCAGTACGAGCAGGGCCTACGTCTACAGCCATTAGCGAAATCACCTTCACCAGCAAATGTATTATGATTTTTTTGCTGACCCCACTACCAAGACCTTAGTATGGATATTATATTGAGCTGCCAGCGTTTGATTGAGGGCTGCTGTATTTCACGGGCTCGGAATAGTAGATATTAACGAACTGAATTCCTATCTAAACTATTGTAGCCATCGACGAGAATATCGAATCTGGAGAAAGAAAAGAAGAGGAAACCTATCTAGAGGATGAAGGGGTTTCTTATAACCACTGCACGACAGGGTTCTACCCATGTCAGCTTGGTTCGGTGCCATTTGTTATTATCAGTCGTAGACGCAGCATCAAGCCGTATGGGCGACGTCAAGCCGTATACATGACGTCAAGATGTCAAGCCGTCACACTTTCTGGTTTAGAGAATGTGTTTTGGGGTTTCTTCATGGTTTTAATTTCTAGTTTGGATGCTGTGACAACAGCCGCATATGTTTGGGGGGCCTCAGTCTGGGGGGAGGTGGCTATCGGGCCTTGGTCTTGTGTCTTGGCACTGGGTTGGGTGGAAAATTTCTGCACAAATGTGTGAAGTGCCTTGCCAAAGGAGAGGACCCTAGGCTATTCTTTCTGTTTCATAGAGCAAATTTTCTTGTCCAGTAGAGTTAGGGTCTCCATTATCTCCTCATCCTCCTCCTTTTCTCTCGTAGCCCGGGCTTGTAGGATAGTGCCGACATGTCTTGTAAGCTCATGATCCAGTTGCCCATTTGGGTTCTGGGGCTCTGACAGGGCTGATGGTGGTCGGTCTATCATCTCCATGTCCATGTCTGATGGTGGTGAGGCTGGCAATGCAATGTCCAGATCATCTGAAATGCTCTCCACTGGGAATGGCTCTATTTCATTGGCAAGTTGCTGGGTATGCAGGTGTTCAGGTCCTGGTGCTGTACACTGTTTATCTGCCTTCTCCGGTTTCAGACGTTTGTGTATTTTCGCGGATTTGGCTGTGCTGTGGATCAGGCTATCATCCCGTTGTTGGGACATACCTGGGGCGTGTTCTCTGGCCCAAAGGCGAGTGACAGGCTCCATAGGTGTGTGCCTTGATTGCGTCTTATACTATGAGTACATTATAGTTAAATGGCTAAGCTGACAAAGGGAGACTATATGTCACGTGCTGTATGGTCTTGCTCCATCATGCTTAGATGCTCCCGGGAGCACTCCGGAGTAATCGGCGACCCTTGGTGCGTGGCCCAGTGTGCTATTTTTCGTGTCCGCATCGCGTGGTTACAGGTCAGTCGGGGTCCTTTTTGTGGTTAAGGGAGCGGCCAGGGAGCAATCACGTAAGCCCCTCTAAAAGCGGCGGGTGTCCATAAGAGGAAATTGTCGCTGACTAGCAGAAATGTGCTTCAGTCATACATTATTAGGGCTCTAAACGTCAAGACTGATAATGCGATTTTCTAAACAAAGGCATCAAATGCTATACACAAACCAAGGATTCTTCTCTCCCATCTCTCGAGCTTTGAAGCCGGTCACTCAAGATTGGGGTTTTTTTTTAATCATGTTTTACGGGCTATCAGCGCTTGGAGATATCTTGTGCAAATGGAGCATTTCCGTCAGAAGCTGGTTGAGACTGTAATGAACGTTGGCCTATTACTTCTACGGAGTACATACTTTGGCATTCAACTATTACGGACAATCATTGCTCTCGGTATTTTATTGAATAGAAATGGGAGAAGCGAGGGCTCTCCACGGGGTCGTTGCTCTATGCTAAAAAAGCCAATTATTCCAACAACGCAAAGTTACCAGCGGTATACATCCGACTTTTTCTGTAACGGGTCCGGCGACTATAGGTCATCCCGAATCACACTTTTGGTGTCGAGCCTAGGGTCACAGGCCATCTGTTGCATAAAGACATCAATCGATCTCTTGGCATCTTCAGCGGAACCAAAGCTGTAGATCTTCGTCTTCCAAATAACAAGCTTCTCTCCGTCAAAATACGCCTGGAGGATTCTTCCTTGTAGGGTTCCCATGAAGGAGAAAAGGAGGACCTGGAATAGATGGATTTGATTAGTACAAAGATCAAGAAAGAGAAGGGGGAAAGGCAAGATGGAAAAATTGAGATTGAAGAGCTTACTGGAATGTATACAAATCCATATGAGGATAGCCTGTCCAAGCCAGTTATCATAGTTGCCGCAACAGTCAAAGCCTCGCCACGCAGTAATTCTTCTCCCTTTGGCTGCGCATCATGCCTCATTATGAGGATAACATGAGGTTCGCTTATGTCGATGTAGACTCTGGTAGGACCCCAACTTGCGGGTTCTGAGCAGAAAAGCGTGTGTTGGAATGCCTCTGAAAGGACATCGTCCTCATCAAAATTTTTATTAATAGATATAAGTATTAGCCATGGTCTTCAACTTTGACGTCTTTGGGTTGCATACCCAGATCGTCTCCAGTCTGTGAGTGAACGAAGACTCTGCTCATCGTCCTCCGTATGCTCCCTTGGAAATAATTCAAAATCCCAGACCATCTGATTGGCAAGCATATAGGCGCTCTGGTGGGATGGATCAGCCCTATATTTCTCAATCATTTCATAGAAAACCTGTTGCTGCTGATGGTATTCATCGTCCATTTTGGAGCTTTGACGATGATCCTTAACAACAAAGACTCTGTATCCAAAGAAACACGGGGAAAGTTCAGCATCGTAGAGCCCATCTTCTCTTAATTTCAACTCCTGGCAGTTAATTGACAAAGAATTGCACAATCCAGGTTCCAAGAAATGATCAGGGTGGCGTCTGACATTGTTGTATATCTTCCTCAGAATAGTTTCATGATTGATGTGTAGAGGTTTCTTTTCAGACATGATGTAGGCGTAGCTCCAGATGGATCAGAACAGCTAGTAGAGACTGGGGAGAGGATAGGGAGCGAGACTTGAAACACCACTGCACCTCTAAGCTTGGCTCGCCGTAGACTCCTATCTATATCTCAAAAGGTATCCGACGGAGACGGACTTGAGGCCTTCGATGACGTGGGAAATAAACCATAGTCTACAATTCTACCTGCGTTATGGCCACCTTTATAACTACTTCAATGCCCATGTGAGCAGGAAAAGGCAACGAAAAGCATATTGGGCGACGGGCCGATTACTCCGTACTCAGGTGAAACCTTCATTTCATTCATTAAATTCTACCGCACACGCCTAGAGATATATCATCAAATCATGCTAAAGTTCATCATCATACTAACATAAAGTTATAGAGTTCTCGAGATGTAAACGCCCCAACAACAGACCGTATTAATGCTGCAACCGCGTTAGTTGATTCTTCGAATGCAAACAGGATTCAGAAACACTCACAGTAACATCCTCCCACTTCTCCCAACCACGTCCGCGCACGTTGGCCAGATCCTCCATCGTGTGCTGCTTGCCTGTCGTGAAGTAACCCGCGTTGATCTTCGCGTCAATTTCTACCCGCGAGTCACTGGGAATCATTTCCTCGGGGATGGGGATACGCTCGACAATCTCGATTCCTGTCTGGACAATGGCGTCATGTTTCATGTTCGACATGGAGAGCATGCGGTCGATCTTCTTGATACCGAGCCAGTGCAGGATGTCTGGCATGAGGGCTTGGAAGCGCATCTATTAGGGTTAGTATTTTCAATCACAGATAATGGGATGGTACGCACATCTCTAACACCAGCAATGTTCTCTGTCCGAGTAAAGTACTTATCGGCAGTGTCACCACCCCGCTTGCGAGCATTGTACACCAAGTACTTGATCACCTCTCCTAGGGCTCGTCCCTCCTTCCGGAAGTAAATCACGACACCACTACCACCATTTTGTGCTTCGCGGATGGCCTCACGAATACCAAAAGCGAGGTATGGTCGACAGGTACAGATATCCGACTGGAAGACATCACTGCCGTTGCACTCGTCATGAATCCGCAGTGCCAGTTTCACGTTCTCGTCAGACACCCTCTCCGGAGGGCCGAAAATGTAAACCGTCTGTCCACCAATAGGCGGGAGGAAGATCTTCAGATCCGGCCTAGTGATCAACTCCGGGTAACTGCCGCCAGTATGTTCGAACAACGTCCGACGCAGCGTACCCTCATCAACCCCAAACCTCTCCGCAACACCAGGCAAATACCAAACCGGCTCAACAGCAACCTTGGTAACACGCACCTCACCACTCTCATCAACAACAATATTCCCATCCACCTCAAGCTCCCCCTTCCTCAACGCCTCCTCAATCTCCGCCAACTTCATATTCGCCCGCGTAATCGCCATTGTAGGCCTAATATCCCAACCAGCATCCAACTCCTCCCGAAACTGGTTAACAATATCATGACCATACGGATCCATCGAGACGATCTTCGTCTTATCCGCCCACGCAGGCTGCCAGGGGAAGTTAAACGTGGGCTCGCTGTTGCGGAAGTCTGGGCGGAAATCAGGGGGGAGGTCTCCGGCGGCGATGGCTAGGGCATTGTAGATGCTGTAGCTGCCTCCATGAGCGCCCATTGCGTTGCGTCGTTTGAGCAATGGGCCGCTGCGAGAGACGACGATGGGGCCGCGGGATTTGGCATCGGGGGCGCCCCAGGTTAAGGGGACGGGGTCGACTCCGCTTTGGCCGGGATAGGTGGTGAGCTGAGCTGTTAGTACATTCTCTTTATTCGGGTAGTATGAGGGAGTACGTACGACAATGTGCTTGCTGTAGCGAGTAGGGGAGTTTGGTGCCTGAATAGGCGAAGTTGGAATATCCTCTGTCGTCATGATGGAGGATGAACGGTGGTGAATGAGAATCAAGACAGTAGCTGAGAAAGGAGAGGGAAAGAGGAATGAAGAAGAAAAGGAGAAGAAGAAGAAGAAGAAGAAGAAGAAGAAGAAGAAGAAGAAGAAGAAGAAGAAGAAGAAGAAGAGGTGAAGAGGAGAGAGAGCTGACGACGTGGTCTTCTTGTGTCCCCCTTGGATGCAGCAAGCATGTGACCCCGCATCTTATCGGTATTGGTTGACCAGATAACTACGGTGCTTATTCTATTTTACTCTACTATTCCTGTTATATTCTCGTCTGTCCTTATTCCCTTGCTTACTGGCTCTACCAGACGTAAACAGCTCTCCAGCTCTATCTGCTGAACAGCTTCATTGCTCTATAGACGGCGATCGACCGTTGCAGATCCCCGTCCCCAGATTGGGCGTCAATACCTACCAGGCAGTACATACAAGTAAGGAAGCTCTCTGTTGCCATGTCCCTCTACAGCGATATAGAATTGGAACTAGATGGCTGACCGGTGTCTTCAAAAAGAGAACCATGAGAATCCCTCTACGGCACCTTTATCTTATCGTTATCTCAGATCGGGGGTCTCCGTCTCCCCACCCGATAGAAGTCTCCGCTGATATCATGAGGGACACTGTCGGGATGGTTAAGTATGCGGTGCGACCGGCAAGTCACGCAAATGCAATCTTTACTCATTTTGGTATCTGATAAATATAAACATTTCATAACTCTTCACGCATTAGCCATATAGCAGAATTTGCTAATCCAATCTATTTGAAATCGCTACTATTCCTCACTTTCCAAAAGTCGCGTTGGACCGCGGGTTCCGGATCGTCTTCTTAATGGTTTCCTCCACTTCGTCCCAGTCGGTCGTATCGAGTCGTTGAATGTCGACATTGAAGTATTTCCCAATCTGCATGAGCATGTTCCACTCATCCCGGTTGGACACGAACGAGATCGACACACCGACACGGCCGAAACGTCCCGTACGACCGATACGGTGCAGGTAGGTCTGGTAATCCGCCTGCTTCTCCTGGTTGCCGGGCTGGTAGATTTCGGGGATATCCTGGATGGTCAGCTCACTATAATGACCATATTTAGAGTTGGGCGACTTACATAGTTGATAACCATGGAGACGGTAGAAACGTCAATACCTCTGGCAAGAACGTTGGTCGTGATCAGGACCTTGGCCTGTCCGGAACGGAATTCATCAATGACAGCGTCACGCTGCGAACCCTCAATACCACCAGTCAAAGATGCAACACTGTGACCTTCCTGGATCATGCGCTTCTCAATTTCGGAAGCAGAGGCACGAGTCTAAACATTGTTAGATGAACGATGCAGAATCAAACGGAGAGCTACTGACCTTGACGAAAATAATAGAAGAACCCACGGTAAGAAGACCGTACAGGTTAACAAGGGTCTGGTATTTGTCCTCATCATTCGAGCAGTCAATGTAAAGTTGCTTGATACCCTCGACGGTCAATTCCTCGTGCTGCAGGGTAATCTCGTTTGCCGACGGCGCGAATTTAGATGCATATCGGTGAACATGGGCAGGGAATGTTGCGGAGAAAAGAACGACCTGGACGTCTCGGGGCAGCAGACTTTAAAAATTAGTAACCAACACATTCACAGGAGCTGGAGTAGACGCACCCCTTGACACGAATACACTGGTCACCCAGACCCTGCTGGTCGAGCATGTTATCGGCCTCATCAAGAACAAGAACCTTGAGTTTAGCGGCAACCATAGTACGTCTCTTGACCATATCCATAACGGTACCCGGTGTACCAACGACCACAGAAGCTTCCAACTTCGTAGGACGGCTGTTGGAGTCTGCAGGAACGGCCGTGCCAATAAGAAGTCCTGTAAGGAACTGTCCCATAACCTGGACGACACCAACGATCTGACGAGCCAATTCACGAGTCGGGGCCAGGATCAAGGCCTGCGGTGTCTTTTGCATCTGCTCCGACGAGAGGTCGAGACGGCTGAGGATGTTCAACACGAAGGCGGCGGTCTTTCCGGTACCCGACTGCGACTGTCCGACCAGGTTCTTCGGGGGGCTACTCAAGAGCAAGGGGAGGGCTCTCTCTTGAATTTTCGATGGTTTGCGGAAGTTCATCGCGGACAGACCCTTGAGGATGTTGTCATCTCTGAAAAAGTCGTCAGTCCAGTCCGATTCTCCTGTAAAAAGGTATTCACGTACAATCCAAGGTCGGCAAAGTTCTTCACGGAGAATAGAGGGTTATTAGGGTCGTCTTGGAGGTCGCTAAGCTTGACTTCGACGTTGTATTCGGGCTCCTGGAGGTTGGAACCGTTCCGTGTTTCCGAGGCTCCATCGTTCTGGGGTACGTCTTCGCTCCAGTCTGTCTTCTCAGCAGGAGCTGTAGATTCGTTAGATTCATGCTTTTGTTGGTGTTTCAATAATCGGCAAACGGTGTTGTACCTGCAGGTTCCGAGCCCTCGGGCTTCGAGACGCGGTCCGTGAGGGAGCCACCCGCCGGGGGTGCTTCAGTGGGCTGCTCAGCGGACATATTGTGGTGCTTATTTAAGGATAGGAGAGATCAAAGAGGAAATCTGTAGTTGTTTATTGCGGTGGTAGGAGGGGCAGAGGCGACAGCGGGGCACGTCAAGCTGCGCAGACAATCGAATGTTGGCAGCGGGAAAAGGTCGAGTCAATGCAAGACACGCGCGTAGACACGAAAACTCGAGCTCTGACAAGTTCAGAGCGCAGAATAAAAGCGATTGAACAGTGAATAATTGACGAAGAGTCAACTCTCCAGAATGACGAACCAAAATCCACCATCCCGCACTAGCCCGTTTAGGAAGATAGCCGAGCGGCTGGCGCTTAGTAGTGGTACTGTACGGTATGGTCACACCGCTTCCAGAAACGGTGCAAATGAGGTCATTTTGCTGTCAACGTGGCCTGACAGCGGGTGTATTGTATTGTCACAGGCACGCCTCCTGCCACTTTACTTTGTTCCCCGCTTGGCCCGCATTGCGTAGCCGTTATTTGGGATCGCATTTATCTTGACTGTCAAACTCATTAGAGGCTGTCGCCGTGTCTTTCTATTCCTGCTACTACAGCCGCATTCCTGTTTTGTCACCAACGGTTGATGCGCTAATTGAGCATGGCAACCCTGGATGCCGCTCCCCAATTCGGGGCAGAGCTAAAGGTATGCTTCCGGTACGGGGTATCGCAGATGCTATGGAAGCTAATTTGTGGTAATATAGGACTCCTTTAAGCCCGTGAACAATTGGGTACATCGTATCGATTTTGCGCATCGCACCGAATCCGACGGCTAATTAGGATAGGTAACGAACGGAATAACCTGGCTCGACGAGATCCAACAATTCTACCGAGAACGAAGCACGATCGAAAAGGAATACGCAGTGAAACTGAACGCACTATGCAAGAAATACTCCGATCGCAAGGCGAAGAAAATCAGCCAACTGAGTGTTGGAGATTCTCCTACGATGACCCCCGGATCGCTCGAGGCCGCGTCGTTGACTACATGGGGTACACAGCTGACGGCTGTTGAATCGCATGCCGGAGAACGGGACAAATTCGCCAATGATTTGGTTATTCAAGTTGCGGAACCATTGAAGCATGCGGCTGTTCAGTATGACGAGCTTCGGAAGAGTCATGTCGATTTCCATACCAAGTTGGAGAAGGAACGGGATGCCTCGTATAGTGACTTGAAGAAGGTTAAGGGGAAATATGACGGGGCGTGTCAGGAGGTCGAAAACAAACGGAAGAAGATGGAGTCGTCGTTTGACCACGGTAAACAAAAGTCTCAGGCTGCGTATCAGCAGCAGATCCTGGAGATGAACAACATCAAGGTAGGTTGTTGCACCAGTGTAAGGATGTCGCTAACGACTGCAGAATACATATCTTATCCACATCAACATCACAAATAAAATGAAGGAAAAGTTTTACCACGAATATGTTCCTGAGATGATTGATGTGAGTCCACCAGTCTAAAGTGGGTTGGGGTGCGCTAATCTGGAATATGTATAGGGCCTGCAAGACCTCAACGAGACTCGAGTAGCCAAGCTCAACTCCCTCTGGTCCCTCGCAGCAGAACTCGAAAACTCGTACATGTCAAAGAGTATGGACCACATGTTGAACCTTTTGAACGAGGTACCCCGGAACGCACCACACCTTGATTCGCATATGTTTTTGCGCCACAATGTCACCCAAACACAAGAGCCGCCAAACTTGGTATTCGAAGCCAGTCCGGTCTGGCACGATGACGAATTGATTGTCACCGACGAAGCTGCCAAGGTGTTCTTGCGGAACTTGCTCAGTAAGAGTAAGACGCAAGTCCGCGAGTTACGAGTCGAGGCCGACAGGCAAAAGCGGGAAGTGGACAGTTCAAGGCGGAACAGGGAGAGAGCGCGACAAGGTCAGGATGGATCGAGTGAGGTGGATGTCGTGCGGGTTCTGTTTCCCCAGCAGGAAGCCTTCCACGAGACAGATCGCAAGCGTGTTGCAGCTGAAGTGGAAACATCTACGATTATGGCTGTGGTGGGTGACTTGTCGGTTGGAGCTCAGAACCACAACTTCAAGTCGCAGACCTTCAAAATTCCTACCAACTGTGATCTGTGCGGAGAGCGCATCTGGGGATTGTCGGCCAAGGGCTTTGACTGCCGGGACTGTGGATACACCTGCCACAGCAAGTGCGAGATGAAAGTACCCGCCGAGTGTCCAGGAGAACAGAGCAAAGAAGACAAGAAGCGACTCAAAGCAGAGCGTCAGGAGCAGGCTAGTTCCATGCCGCCACTGGATCTGGAGGCATCAACCACTTCATCCACTGCTCCATCACTAACACGAAAGGACACCATGAACTCACTGAGCTCAGGATACGCAACAAATGCGAACCGATCAGTGTCAAACGTGACATCTCAGCCTGCGAGCGGAGCGGAAACGCCAACATCACCAGCACCACCCGTTGAAAGCAAGCCAGCGCCGGTACGAAGGGTTCTCGCGCCGCCTCCTGCGGCGTACATTAGTCCACCCCCCGAACCCGCATCAAAGCCCAGCGAATCGAGGGGTAGAATGCTATACCCGTATCAAGCACAAGGCGAAGATGAAGTTAATGTACAAGAAGGCGACACCATCGTCATCGTCGAACCAGATGGTAAGCCACAACGCACCCACTCACTCCATAAAACCGTACACTAACAGGTGTCAAACAGACGGCTCTGGATGGCTGACCGTCCGCTCCGGCGGCCAAACCGGCCTCGTTCCAGCCTCCTACGTCGAAGCAGCCCCAGCACCCGCGCAATCCCCCGTCCCCTCCATAACCGACCGCCGCAACTCAGTCTACTCCAACTCCTCCGCGGGCCACACCGCAGGCAAGAAAATCGGCCCAGCAGTAGCGCCTCGCCGCGGCGCAAAGAAACTGCAATACGTCGAGGCGATGTACGAGTACAACGCGCGGAGCGAGATGGAATGGGATATGGCGGAGGGCGACCGGTTCGTGTTGGTTAATCGGGACGGAGGCGATGGGTGGGCGGATGTTGAGCGTGGTGGTTTGACGAAGAGTGTTCCTGCGAATTATATTCAGGAGGTTTAGCTTTGCACTGTGTACATAGATTTGTTTTTTTGTGTGTTTTTGTTGCATTGCATAAGCGTGGTTTGTTTGTACAGTCGTGTATATGAATGACTTGTCTGTCTGTCTATTCTAGTCTAGTCTGACGTGACTTCGTAGTCCAATGGATGTCACTCTCTTGACCATAAACATGTGTTACAACTCCCCCACCCAAAACTGCATATTCTGCCCAGGAAACGCAGACATATCATCCAGACCGCAGAATCCTGTCTGATCCAGCGGCCACATACCCAACCCATTCTCGTTCTTCCCCATATTTGTGCCCATATCCAGATTATCCCAATTACCCTCGAGAATCGGTAATGGTAGCTCCAGTTCCAGATCAAGGGGAAGGTCGAGTGGCGGCATTGGCATGAGATCTGACGACGACGAAGCACTCGATGCTATCGAAGAAGTCGAGGGGAGGGATTCGCTCAGGTCGGGGATTGATGCAGAGGGGATGTCAATTCTTTCTGTAGTCGCCGTTGTCGTGGTCATGCTCGTCGTGCTCGTCCGGGGAACGATATCGAATTTCTCTCTGGGCGTAAATTCAACCTGGTAGTTCGGTGACCGTTCCTCAGAACTCCTCTCGGCCGGAGCAGGCTGTGTTTGTGTCTGCGTCTGCATCGCAATCGACAACCCCGACTTCACAGCAACCGGTCTCGGTGCAATCGGCAAAAACCCCTGAAACGGCCTCGCATACCTCCCATTCGGTTTCTGTCGCCCTTAGCCCACGTCCTCAACCCAACCAAACCAAACTCATCAAAAATCACTTCTCCAAGAGGTGAAATACCTTATAATGATGCCTACTCTCCCCCTCCCTCTCCCTCCTTAATCTAGCATGTTCATCAGGCACGGCGCACGGGGTTCGATGGCAGATGCTGCATGTTGAGAAGGGGCGGCCTTTGCGGTTTATTTTTGTTAAGGGGCGGTCTGCCTCGCTTATTAGCCCCCGTATTTGGATTGCGTTTTGCAACGTAGAGTAATGGAATGAGGTATTGGGGGGTGTAGAGGGGATAATGGGCGTACCATGGTGTTTGCAGGTTGTTACGCGGTGGCCGCGGATGCAGGCTTCGCAGGAGTATTTTTGGTTATTTATTAACATTTTCCTTTTTTTGGTTTGTTTTTTTTTTTTTTTTTTTTTTTTTTAAGAGTAGAGGCAGAGATGTAGAGAAGACGAGAGGAGAGGAATAGCTCAGGTAGTAATGTACTCCTAGTAGAGGAGAGGCGATTTATACACCCCTCTACAGTAATCCATATGATACAACCCACAACCCAACCCATACATACTCCTAAAGGCCATGATCGATCCAAAAGATCGCCCTTCCCGGAAAATCATCCTCACACCCGAGAGAGAGGGTCCACCACTACCAGTAATAGTGAGGCATTTGCGCAAATCCCTCATAAGCAATGCGGAGTAAGGACGCTGACTTGGAGAATTCTTCTGCCTGTCCATACATGTACTCGGTACAGAGTACGGGTGTAATTAAACGTTGCTGAGCCGTGGCTTTGTTTTTCTGGGTCTGGTTCTGGAGTGGTTGGACCGTTGGCTTGGTCAGGGTCGGTTGGGTTGTCGGGTATGGTGTGGCGATTTCAATGCAGAGTACAAGGATGAGGTTGAGCAGGGGTTTGCTGGTATAATGAACCGATATCTAGTACTTGTACCCTGTATGGAGTACTTACAATGTATCTCTACTATCTAGTATGAGATGTACTAGTACATCACTCGAGGCTTGTCTGCAATAACATCATTTTAGCTTATCTGCGGCATTTTCGTACCGAGGTTACCACACCACTACCCCTGTGCCGCATTCCGCGAAGTATAAATATAATGAGCCATTTTCTGCATTTGCATTCTGTATCTGGTACAGATTCTATTTATTCTACAGTAAAATTATGGTACAAACTAGTGAACTGCACAGGTACACTCCGGCTGTCCCTGCTGAACCTGTCCTTGGGCCTGGCCGGCGGTAACGGTCACGGTGCTGACGCTGCTGTGCGTGAGAGTTACGATGTTGGTGTGGGTGGCGGTAGCGGTGGCGGTAGCGGTGGCGGTCATGTAAATAGTCGAGGCGACTTGGCTGGGCTTCTCATTTTGACCCTCTGCGCTGGCGTCGCTAGGCGTGGGTGTGCGCACAGGAACTGGTGCGTTGAAATTTTGGTTGCCACTAGGAGCAGCATTGTCGCTATGGACAGGCGCAGCGTCACTAGGGGCAGGCGGGGCACCAGGAACACCAGTAGCGACGTCACTAGGCCCCACCGCAGACTCAATCTTGGTCGTGGTCTGAGTTTCATCGACAACGCTGGTGGACATTGCGTCGACGGTGCTAGTCACTGCCGCCATGACGGTGGGCTGTGCAGAGGCAGAAAGCACTACTGAAGAGGCAGCGCCAGAGATACCCTGTCCAGATGCAGAGCTGACGATCTTCTCAACGGCTGCTTCGGCGGCGATCATGACAATCGCTTGGGTGTTGCCGGTGGGGAGGTCGGGGTGGATACTTGCGTCGACGATGTACTGTGGCCATATTAGTATCTAGTCTGCAGTCAAGAGGGTGAAGACATACCAAGTTCTCGGTGCCGTAGACCTTGGCGCTAGTGTCAACGACCGAAGAACCGTTCTTGCGTCCATCGTCCGTACCCATCTTAGCTGTTCCGAGATAGTGGTCACCAGCGGTCTTCTGCGCCAGCAGGGTCTCGACATCGCTAAAGTCTTGGATCGAGAATCCCATCGGCGAGTTGTTCAGATCCTTCACCAAGCCCTGCAAGAACCTTGTGGTCGCCTCTTTGTCCTCCTCGGTCTGGAGGTATGGCTCCGTCTCGATAGTCGTCGAGCCTTGTCCGTTAATACCCAAGACACCCGACGAGGTAGCGCCGTGCGTGAGGTACAACTTCATCGTGATAACGCCGTTCTTAGCTGCGGAGCACGAGGCCTGGAAGTACCGGGTGACGCCATCAGTTCCCTCGAGGGAAGTCCAGAACTGGAGTCTGTGGCCGCCCTGGGCGAGAACACCAGAGGCCTGCTCATAAAGTCGCTGAACGACAGCGCTCGGGCCGGGAATGACGCTAGACGTGTTGAAGGTGGTGAAGTTGGCGCGCGTGTCGACCTTGATCGTGAACATGGGGTGGTCCTTCAGGTTCTGGCCGACGGGGAGGTTGATCCATTCCCCGGAGGGAGGGAGGGTAACACCAGTGCTACCGGATTGCACGTTCTTGAGCTGCTCGTCGGGTCCGATACCAGAGTTGAAGAGGACGCGGGGAGTCGACATCGATCCAGCAGCGAGGACCACCTTTCCGCCCGCGCGGACGTGGATGATTTCAATGCCACCGTTCTCCTTCTCGACTTCAACGCCAGTCACGCGACCGCCACGACGCACCAGGCGACGAACCTTGGTCTGCAGACGGAGGTTGAAGTTGTCCATCTCCTGAGCCAGAGGGAGGTACGACCGCACAGGACCAGCGCGGACACCGTCCGCAGCAGACCACGACGGGTAACTGTACATCTGATGTCTCTCGTCAGGCTGCTCATGCTGGTTGACGTACTTCCAGCCGAGACGGTTCAGGAACGATGAGAGCACCTTGAACAAGCTCTGGTCGTACCGCTTACCATCGGCAGAGGGGAGCATGCTACCAGCGTTGCGCTCGTACATCCTCTTAGCCGCGGCAGAAATGTCGTTCCACTTCCAACCCTGGGGCCACTTGTCGTCAAAGTCGCGGCTGGGAGGGTGGATGAACGACATGGCGTTGATGATTGTGCCACCACCAAGAACGCAGCCGGCCATGCCTGCAGTGTCAGGGCAGAGGTAGTCGCTCACGAGGCCAAGCTCAGACAGCGAGCTGGCCAGAGCGGGAACGTCGTAGGGAGTGAGACTGCTGTTCCAGGAGAGAGTGTTGTCGGCGCCCATGGAGGCAATCGAGGCAGCACCACGCTCAATCAAGAGGACCTTCTTCTTTGTCTCGGCCAGACGCTCTGCGGCGACGATACCAGCCGCACCACCACCGACAACGATGTAGTCGTAGGTAGCGTTCGACACAGTCGGGGCCACGCTGGGGGTAGGAGTCTGGCTAGCAAGAGCCGAAGAAGACGGTGTGGCACTGCCAGAAGGAGTAGCAGTTGACTTGGCCTTAGCAGCCCAGGTAGAGTACTTGGCCGACTTGGCCTTTGACAGGAGCACCTCAAAGGTGCCAAAACCAGCAGCGTGGTAGGAAAGAACGGAAGACGGCGAGCTAGGAGTAGTAGGGTTGGTCTTAGACAGGGCCCAGCCGAGGAAGCTGGTGTCTGCGCTTGCCTTGAACGAAGTCGGCGATCCGACAATGCACCCCTTGCAAAGGAAGGTATAGGTGAGGTGGGTGCTGTTGGCGGACACACCGTCGGGGATCTCGGCGATGCTGGCATCCTGGTACACGTCTGGGTTGGTGTACGAGGTGGCCTGGCGGAGACTGCCAACACCAGAGTCGCCATTGGGCCACGCGGCAATGAGCAGCGATTGGGTCATCGAGGGCGAGAGACTGACACCTCCCCAGCCCTTGGAGTCGGACAGCGGCACGACCATCTGACCGATAAAGTCGGACTTGACGGTCTCAGGGAGGGCCATACCGAAGCACATGCCGGAGTCGTCATCGCACCAACGTTGGAAGTCGATGCCTGTCGCAGAGTCACTGTAAGCAGAGGACTCAGTAGTCGATGCGGCCACACCAAGGGCCGTGGTTAGGGCCGTCAGCCAAGTAAGAGAGCGCATATTGACAATGTACCAGACAGTGAAAAAAGAAAGTAAGAATCAAAAAGAAAGAAAGGGTCAGCCGTCCCAGCAGCAACCCAAAATGAACAACGGCAACGGCCGGAAGAAAGAAAGAATCAAAGGGAGAATACAAGAAAAGAAACGAATGGTTTGCAGAAAAAGTGATCAGCCATGATGGGCAGTCACGGCTTCATATACCAAGCCAGAACCAAGCCATAACGAGGGGCAATGTCCAAGAGCATATGAAGGACGACGAATAATTGCACTAATGATTTGAGCATATTAATCAGTGGACACACGCCGAGTAGTAGTACGGAGCAGAGGACCGAGACCCCTCACAATGCAGTACCCTGTGCGTAGAGTACAACAATATCCATCAATATGCCGAGGACTCCGTAAAGCACTAGAATAATCCGTGCTCTGTAGATAGTATCTCCGAGTGGAGCTCACGAGCAGTGGCTGTTTGAGGCATAGTTCAACGTCCATCAACCCGAAACGACATCGTTCCATCGCTCGAATCGGAGTAGACGGCTCTCTAATCGGGGGTTGTCATTGGTTTCCATTGAAGGAGAATTGTGTCGAACAGATCATCATGAAAGACATGTTGATTCTCTCATATTAATTCAGATTGCTGAATGCATGACTCGGTACCGGGTAGACATCTCGGCGTGGTCTGGCTGGTCTGTGATCCACCGGATCCGGCCCCTAACTGGATTAGACATGGTTCGGATTGCTGCTCGGAGATACTCACATAAATAAGGCCAATATCGGAGGATCCCTCGTATCTGTGGATTGAATATGGGCGGATTGGTAATTGACTATTGAGAGGTGAAGACAAAGGTAATCCTGAAGATGTGTGGGTCACCTGTCAGGCCGATCACGTGCCATATCGGATTGTTCCGAGTCTGCAGGAACATCGGGAATCTGGTCGGGAATAACCTAATTCATAGTACGGACTACGGAGTACAGACATACACGAGTATACTGGAAATAATTCATAAAGCATGAATTAAGTCTACGCTAACCGCAACTGTACATTGTCCCTTGTCCGAGGTCTAGATATCTCCAACGCCTGGACGGAATCAGGTATATCCCATTGAGTACCGAACGAAATGAAGAGCGAAAGAATCGAAGATAACAATTTAAAAGGTAAGAAGAGAAATTAAACCATGATCAGGCTGGCACCGAACAAAGTCGACATGATGGTCACCATACCGACAACAACAGGAGCCATGGTCAAGCTGGGAACCTTGAGGCCGGCAGCAGCACCCTCGGAGCCAGAGGGAGAGGACGAAGAGGAGCCACCGCTGCCGCTGCTGCTGTAGTCGCTGCCGGAGACGGAGGCGGAGCCGGGCTCGGCAGTGCCGGTGGAGGAGGTACCCTTGGACTGGCTGCCAGAGCCGGAGAAACCGTCACCCTTGCCAGCACCGTCCTTGAAGTACTTCTTGGCGGGCTCAGGGATGGCAGGAAGGTCATCGTTGGAGACGTCCCAGGCGGGCTTCTCCTTCTTGGGGCAAGCGTTGGAACCACCAGTCTTGTTGAAGCCACCGTCACCCTTGGGGTTGGAGGTCTTCTCAAAGGCGGTCTTCAGAGCGTCAAAGTCCTTGAGCTCCTTGACGTCGTCGCCGTTGACCTTGACCAAACCGTAGTCGCTGGGCTCCTGAGAGTATTCGTAGACGAGACCACCAGAGTAGATACCGGTCATCTTGGTGGAGTAGAGAGCTTCGACTTCCTCGAACTTACGAGTGTTGGTGTTGCAGCCGTATTCGGAAAGGAAGAGAGGGAGACCGTAGCCGTCGAACAGCTTGACCTTCTCGTCCCAGCCAGAGGTAGTGAACGACGAGGGGTCACACCACGAGTAGTCGTTGAAAGCGAAGAAGTCGCTGCGCTCGTCGTCGGTACCGCAGTTCATGTACTGGGCCATCTGCAGACGGTTGGTGTCGATATCGGCAGCAGAGTAACCAACGGGCACGGTACGAAGGTCACGCTCACGAAGGTACTGGCGAATGTCACGAGTGACAGCCTTGACGTAGGGAGCGGCCTTGGAGGAAGGACCATCGTTGATGACCTCGTTACCGGAGAAGAAAGCGAGGGTGTTCTTGTACTGAGCGAACATCTCGACGGTGGCGAAGATGTACTGCAGGTAGACGTCGTTGTAGGACAGCTTGGGGTCCTTGCGGTTGAGGGAGTACTTGGGAGTGTTGACATCAAGGACGAGGTAGATGCCCGCATCCGCCAACGCGTTCATACACTCATCGTGGTTCTTGGAGTTGTCGACAGAGTAGACCCGAATGGTGTTCAAGCCAAGAGACTTGAACTTTTCAATGTCACGCTTGCAGCCGTCGGTATCAGCGATAGGGTCCGCAAGGTCACCAGAACCACCGGGCTGGTAGTCGACACCACGGATGTAGAAACGGTCGTCGCCCTTGAAGAAAGCGTTACCCTTGGTGGTGATGGGAGTCACATCGTCACGGGCCTGGATGTTGGAGGGGGTGGCCAGGACTGACGAAGCTCCCAAGACGAGGGAGGTAGCGATGGTAGAGCCCTTCATTGTAGTGATTGCCAGATGGAATGGGAGATGAAAGAAAGAATCGAGAGATTAATATAGTAGATAACGAGAGGCTGGAATCAAAGATGCAGAAAAAGGAATGAATGACTGTATGAAGGAGAGAAGAAGAAGAAGAAGAAAGGGAGATAACGAAAGCGTGTCTAAGGGCAGACAAGAATGGAAGGGATGGAAAAGGAAGAGAAAAGGGAAGGAAGGGAACGCCGTGATTATGTACTCCTGGTATTCTGGTTACGGGCCTCGTACTGTCACACCCTCCCTGACAAAGATCATTCAGATCGCCGGTTGGTCTGGTTTGGCATGCTTTTATTGGTGCAGTGTCAGGGTTTAGTGGAATCTGGAGTCAGGGTCAAGGGCTGGAGCGATGTTATGGCCCAATCAGGGTCTTTGAAAGATGGGCAGCCAAGACCCTATTTCCTTTTTTGTGTGCCGCTGTGGGGAATTGTATCCCTATTTAGACACGAAGACCCTGGATTGGTTCGTTTGCTTCCGATACAATACGATACACACATCAGCAGCTACAGAGAGTACAGAGTACCAAGAGCAGAGTACAAGACGTAGTTGTACGTAGTAGGTAAATATAGTTGCACAGCTGTAACGGTGCCAATTCATTGCGTGGCTGCATTCCAATGCAGACCCTGCAGATTATGTACAATGCACCAATAGATTATCCTGAAACATACGGGGCCTCGGCTTATGATCCCAAACACTCCACACCGTTATGATACAGCGCAACGGTACGGAGTCTCTAGCGCTTACTTGTACCTTTACTTGTATAGAAACCATAGCATTTGGGTTCTCTGGATATCCTTTTGTCCCCTATTCACCACTACGTCAAGATCTAACACCGCCAACGGAAACGATCACCGATCTAAACGCACGTTCCTGGTTGCGACCTTCCGTAGGGGGTTTAGTCCGAAACGAGTATTCTCCGTGTTTCATGGTATTACTAATAATTGTGCGCCACAGTTAATATCAGTCCATATGCAGTGGCGTCATTGTAATCACAACTGGACGGAGTACCCTGCGCTACGGAGTACAGCAGACCCTTATTCTTACCATATTGCAGCAAACATGTTCCTGGCAAGTCCGGTTGTATATTGGCGCTGGCAGTCTGTACTTTGTACCAAGACTCTAGGGGTAATCAGGAGGCTTGGGGTCTTGGGGGCTTGGAACTAGATCGCAGGCGTTGCTTTCATTACGAGGATGTACCCTTGGTAAACTGATAGGATAGGAATCAATTGATTCTGCTATGTACAGTGCAGATGCGGAGTAACACTCCGGGGTATATATCGTGAATGCGAACACCCATGTACAACAGCAGCTACTCCCTCTTCCTCAACCGATCCGTCCCATGCACCCAATCCAACACCCCCATCGACCCATAATTCAAATTGAACTTCTCATGATGCAAATCATGCATCCTCGCCTGTCCTCTCAAGAAATCATACCCACTATGCACCGTCGCCGTCCCAAACAACTCGTACCCCAGAAACGCCCAGAATGTGAATATATGGCTTTTCAGGATCTGCGGGGGGAGAGTTATCGGTAGAATGTTTGCGAAGATCTGTTCGATGGGGTGTGCATATTGTGCTGCCAACGCGATTGGCGCTGTGAAGCGGTGGTGTTGCTTGTGGATGCGGACGTAAAAGTATGGTCTGTGGAGAAAGCGGTGGCTGTAGTAGAAGAGGGCTTCGCGGAGGAGGAGGCTGATGATGAAGTCGCGGGTGAATTCGAGGAGGGTTGGGAGGGTGGTTTCGATTCGATAGGACGACGGGAGTCCGGCGTAGGTCGTCGCTGTGATTAGGAGGAAGTGAAGGGCCGTGGAGAGGAGTTGGTTCTTCGCGACTACCGCGACGCAGTGCCGGATGTCTTTTCCGGTGGGTTGTTTCAGGGCCGGTTGGATTTTATGACGTTGCGAGAAGGAGGGGAATAAGGCGTCGAGGGAGAGGTAGTAGAGCGATGGTAGCCAAAATGTGAGTAGTTGAACGAGGAGTGTTCCGATGAATTCGATGGATCGCGGAGCGTAGGATTCCACGATGTTGGTCCAGGCTTCCATTTTGTCCAGTTGCACAGTCGCATTCACTTGGAAGAATAGGAAGTGCAGTGACAGTTGTTGAGGCAAGTTCCTGCATTTAAATGAACTATGAAGATCCTGATCAACCGTGGGGTAATCCGAGATACGTACCTCGGTTCCTCAGATCTCCGATTTCATTTTCATTTGACTGCGAGTGAAGATCTCTTTTCTCCGTATCTGGTCGCATTCAATCCATGGGGAATTGAACGAGGAATCGCATACTTTTGTCGAAACGAGTTCTACAATATACAGAGCAATCTCCTTTTCTGAGATTCATTAGGGTATCCCTGCAGCTGGCTAGGATCATCATGGCAGGTCAGCTAGCTGTATACAATGGGAACTACATCACATGTGCTGTTGCAGTTTGGAATCGAATCGGGCAAATAGTTCTGTATAGCAAACCTATATAGCGAATTGGAGCTGGTTACATATTACGATATCGACAATCAACTTCCCTCGCCCTTCTCCCCAGCAAACATTGTCGGTTTCTCAAAAGCAGCCGCACTGGTAGCTATCCTACCAAGCAACGCCAGCAACACCTTCATCATTGGGCTGTAATCGTCCTTGATCTTGAAGACGTACTCTAGCGGCCGTGGACATGAACAGACAATGTTACCTTGCAGGCGCCAGACGTCAACCATCGACTCTACAGTATGCTTCCCCTGGCTCTGAAGAACGTCGGTGTTTCCATCGTCCGCTCTCGTCAGCCTCTAGTGCAAGGTGAAGTCCGCTATCTCACCTTGATCCAAATAGAGACTCCATCCTCGCAGTTGGTAAACGTGATCATCCATCCCTGCGGCTCGTCTTCACGGAAAATCGTAGTTTCTGTCGTTCTACTGATGGTAAGCAGTCTTTTTTTGGCCATATGCATTCTACCAAAAGATTGTGGTTGTGTAAGATTGCGAGAAGCACGTCTTTGTGCGTTCTCAGGTTGGGGGTAGCTCGGCATATTTCTTTCCTCGTTCGAAGGTGACAAAGAAAACTATAGTCAGTTTTAGCGTTTAACTTAAGTGCGATGGAAAAGGAGAACGTACAAGATGGCATGTTGGTTGAAGGTTTTATCGCTTAGGCGAGTGGTAGGAATTAGAGGACAGCAGTTAGGTGTCATCATGGAACAACTATGATCATCGTTTATTCGCATCTCCCTTCGCTTTCCCTCGTAGTTTCTCTCGCAAAGTCAGTATCACTTTTTCCTATTTTCTCATTTGCCGGTTGCTGTTGTTATCGCTCCTTCCTAAACAACATCGTACCTTCCGAATCTGGACCAGCACCTGCCATACCCGCCAGAACTGCCATAAAACCCCATGATGCGAGAAACAATCCTTTTTTTTTTTATCATCTCCTGTCATCTCCTGTCATCTTCAAGACAGTCGACAGTCAAGCTGCTTCGTTTTATCTCTGCATCGATACACTCATCGATAAACTGCTTTTATGTTAATCGATAATCAATATCACTGCCACTACCCACCGAGCATCGAGTATCGTTCGAACAATGATTCCCCTTCTGCATGCCCTGGCCTGGGCCCTCTTGGCCGTCCTCGTCCACGGTGACAGCGAGTACAGCAAACTCTTCATCAAAGGCCCGGCGTTCTCGCTCTACCCTGACCCAACCTTTACCGTGGTTAGCCCCGAACTGGGCCGGTCTGGAGCGTGGATGAGCAGCAACTACACCGCAGACGGATCCGGCCGCTTCCCGGGTCTCGAATGGAGAAGTCCCTCGCCCTACGTGAAAGAGTACCTGCTCGTCAGCGAGGACCCTGATGCTCCGCTCTCGCATCCCATCGTCCACGGTCTGTACTATGGGATTCCGCGCGTGTTTACCGGATTGGGGGATGAGGATTTCCAGTACGGGACGAAGCCGTATACGGTGTCTGGGGGTTTCAAGTATGGTGTGTGTCGCGGGGGAGGGGTTTATCTGCCGCCGAAACCTATGCCTGCCCATGGACCGCATCGATATTTCTTCGAGATCATTGCGTTGAACGAGCGGATCGATACGGGGAAGTTGGAAGCACCTGTGACGCTGGATGAGATCTCGCATGCGATTGAGGGCAAGGTGATTGGATGGGGGACGTGGATTGGGTTGGTGGAGCGATAGTGATTGTGTTGAGGATTGATATGGGTCTCATTGTTAATTGTTTGGTTCTTTGTTTTGCTGTCTTTGTTGTATTGTTATGATACCTGGTCGAGATCTTAGGATCCATGGGATGCATTCCACGTGGGGTGACTTCATGACTACTGTCTCGGCTGGATTCCAGTCTCCATAAATAGATCTGTAAGACAAGGTTATTTTCAGCACTGCCAGTCTGTGCGAGCCATGGACCAGATTAATACGAGACGGATTGAGCCGCTAGATGTACTTATAGAACCGTCGTCTACAGAAGATATGTTGTGCTTGGTACTCCGTACATACCAATTCTTTTCTACTCCGTACCCGTACTTCCACCAAAAAAGGCAGTCTCTCCACGGAGATGGCCGTAAATACTCCGCCATGGTGTATCTCACCCACCAATAGAACCATTCTCAACGAACCTTGCCTGATCTAGACTAGCTCCTCGCAGGATCTGCTATTCCCGATCTGGAGAGCTTAACCGGATGCGTCGGTCGCATTTGTCATTTCCAAAGGAGATCGTGGAATATCAATTGGTACGAGATTGGTACCGAGGACTACGTAAAATTCTGTTGAAGCTTTCCCTGTATGTACGTTGAGCCAAGATCGGTGTAACCCCTGTAAAGCTGCAACTGTAACCACAATGATCCGTGGTAGCGACCAGCATTGTACTCTGTACGTTAGCGATACGTATAAGAATAGAGTTGAAAATGAGCTGTCATCGCCACCGATAAATCCGCAGTGGAATGGACTATTGTGGACTATTGCGTAGTGTTATCGCTGGCTAAACCGGGAAAAAATAGTCCAGCGCCAACCAGGATTCCAGCAAAGTTTTTCTCTTTTTCTTTCTTTTTTTCACTCTCTCCTTATTTATTCTCTGGATGCGGTAGTGTTGGCTTTTTTTTTTTTTTTCTTTTTTTTTTTATCTGACAGGCTACACTGCTTATTCACTGCCACTGCCATTGCATCCTCCTGCATCGCATCGCATCTGTATATCCCACTAACCTCAACCTCAACCTCAATTGACCGTGAACCGGTTTCAATCCCTCCTCTCCCTCATCTATCTGGATTCAAGTACCGAGTAAAAGAGGAAAATGACTCGACTGAGCTTCGTTCTGCTCTCCCTCCTGGCATCCTCCATCGCGGCCTCCCCCACCGAACATCAACACCGCGATGACCTCCTGAACTCCCACAACGAGCACAACCTCAATCCCATCCACAACGCTCTCCACCGTCTCTCTGCTCGCTTCCGCGATGGAATCTTCCCCACTGATACCGATGCCGTGAGCGCTATCCAGCACGACGACGAATCCCTGGGCAAGCGCTTGTTGGACCTCGTCAAGAGACAAGACGTCGGAGGTAATACCACCACCACTGCCACTGATGCCACTGCTATTGCAACCACCCCTGCTTCTGCTTCTGCTTCTGCAACTTCGTCCGAGGAATCTTCTTCTGAGTCCACGTCGGTGACAACTTCTCCTTCAGACATTTCTTCGTTGTTGCCTTCTTCCGACCAGGCGTCGTCTACGGAGGCCTCTTCCGCTGATCAATCGAGCTCGACTGCGGCTTCCACTTCGGATCAAACTAGTTCGTCGGCGGGGTCTACTGGTAGTTCCAGTGCTGAGAGTACCACTGAGAGTAGCACCGCCGGGAGTAGCACCGCCGAGAGTAGTACTGCCGAGAGTAGCACCGCCGGATCTAGCAGTGCCGACTCCAGCACTACCGGCAGCAGTTCTACCGGCAGCAGCAGTGCATCGGAGACTGAGTCGTCCACGCCTGCGTCGACTTCGGCCTCGTCGACTGCTTCGTCCACTGCTTCTAGCACTGAAAGTTCCTCGACCAACCCATCGACAACCATGTCGACCTCTGCGTCGCCTTCTTCCACTTCTGCTTCGTCCACCTCGTCTACCGAGACCAGCTCGAGCACCACCAGCACCACCAGCTCTACTTCTTCCTCGTCTACCGAGACTACCACTCAACACACCACTCCATTCACCTCTACGTACCAGAGCACCACGACCATGGCCAACGGTGAGCGAAGCACTGTGACCATGTTCACTGTCGTGCATCCCACTGCGTCGACGACTTCTTCTGCGAAGCCAGGTCTGCAGACCGATACATCGGGTGCTACTACCACGAACTTGAAGCGGGAGTTCTTGGCTATCATTGCTGGTGCTGCTGTTGTTGCCATGGCGCTGTAGTCGTTCATCGTTCATTTTTGCATTCTTCGTTTTCTTTTCTGTTACTTGCGAAAGTTACATCGCATTGCATAGGCGTTGCATTCGTTCTTTACTCTAGCATGTCCGGCGTCCGACAGTCTTTCTTTAGATTCCAGTATATAAACGTGATTTCTTGTCCTTCAGGTATTACCTCCAACAGTATGATATAAACAGTGATCAGTGATTTATTATTCTCCAAACAAAAGGTACGATATAACAGTCCGTCCAAACCGTAGGGTATGATATAAACAACATCCACACATGTACATCCTCCACACCCCCCCAATTCCTTCAATACTCCATCCAAAAACAACTAACTCTCCCCAACCCATCTCTCCTCCTCCGTCCAAAACCTAACCACACTCTCCCACCCCACGTAATCCCCATCCCTCAACAACGCCGCCACATCCACATTCAACGGACTCTCGGGCCTCGGATCCGTCAACAACTGCTGAATCGCTGTCAACGTCGTCGACAGCGTATACACCGGACTCCAGTGTTCCGTGGTCAATAGTGTGAGACAGATCTCCCCCGTCGTAAACGAGATATTGGGGTGCGAGATGCGCGTGCGGAAACGGATTGTGGGAGGCGTGAGGGGGTAGTTCGGGGGGATGGTTATGTTTAGGGACCAGAGGCCGCCTGCGTTTATCAGCCTGTATCCAGAATGCGTTGCGGTTGCGTTAAGCAAGTTGTAGTGGGTAAAGTGGACATACCCTCGTACGGCGTCCCCTTGACACCCTTCAACACAGCCTCCCAGTGCAGCAGGTCATCTTCGTCGATTGGGCCGAGGTGCAGGAGTGCTTCGTTGGGGGATTTGGTGTAGTCTTTGAATTCGCGGAGGAGGCGTTGTGTTGTTGAGGGGGAGGCCATTCTCACTGTATGTGCATGTATATCTGACTGTTTGTACGGAGTATAAATAGGGAATGTAGTTGTTTATGTTGATGTGCAGGTTGTATCACTATGGGGCTGAGGCGGTGAATTCTCCCGAGGCGTGGGTCGGGTGTTCGTGGAGATTGTTACGGATGCGATCGCCATGTGATGGTCGTCCACGGAATCAACTCCATACAATTACTCCTACTCTGTGCAGAATAAAATGCGCACCTCACGAACATCACAAGAAACGACTGAAATACTACAAGCGCTGTCACCCCGTCGCACGCGCGGTTCCGCGAATCTGAACCTCCAGCGCTTCGCGTACGACAATCCGCGCGAAATCAAAGATGAGGACGTCTCGTCGCTTTCGTCGGTGAATACCGTTGACATCGAGGATATTCTCGAGCCGCCCACGAAACGGCGAAAAGCCGCCCCTGCACCCGCACCGGCGCCAGCACGCGCTCAAAAAACAAACGAAGCGCCACCACCAACCAAACGAACCCGCCGAACCCCAGCGCGAAAAATCAAGACCGATGGAGCCACAACAGTCCAACCGCCCTCCGACTGGGAGACGATCTATAATACCGTCAAGAAAATGCGGGCGATGAATCCAACCGCGCCGGTGGATACGATGGGATGCGCGGAGTTGTATTGGCGGGCGTCGTCGGTGAAGGAGCAGCGGTTTCATATTTTGATTGCGTTGATGTTGTCATCGCAGACGAAGGATACTGTTACTGCTGTTGCGATGGGGAGGTTGCATACTGAGTTGGGGGTTGTTGAGGAGGAGGATGCTGTTAAGGAGGAGGACAAGGATGCGATAAAGACGGAGGACGACGTTAAGAAAGAGGAAGACATCGAGGACGGAATAAAGACAGAGGACATCAAGAAAGAGGACGGTGAAGAAAAGCAGGCCAGCACCCTAACTCTGAAAAACATTCTAGCCGTCAGCCCACAACGCCTTAACGAACTCATCCGCACCGTCGGCTTCCACAACAACAAAACCAAATACATCAAAGCCACAGCCCAAATCCTCCACGACAAATTCAACTCCGACATCCCTTCCACCGCCCCGGAACTAATGTCCCTCCCCGGCGTAGGCCCCAAAATGGCCTATCTCTGCATGAGCGCCGCCTGGGGAAAACATGACGGTATAGGCGTTGACGTGCATGTCCATCGTATAACGAATCTCTGGGGATGGCATAAGACCAAGAACCCTGAAGAAACGAGGGCTGCGCTGGAATCATGGCTGCCACGAGATAAGTGGCATGAGATTAACAAGTTGTTGGTTGGACTGGGGCAGACGGTTTGTTTGCCTGTTGGGCGTAGATGTGGAGAGTGTGATTTGGCTGGGACGAAGCTTTGTAAGAGTGAAGTTAGAGGTAAATAGCTGGCATTTAGCATTGATGGTGATAGTGGTGACCGTAAGTGTATACAGAGCCTTAAAGGGTAGTGAATATCACGGGACCTTTGAGTGGGTTGAGCTTCCACTCACTCAACCTTTTATGGCCTCATGGCCTCCATTGGCATCTATGTTCTAACACACATCTACCTCCTCAACTTCTCTACCTACGCTGAGCACTCTATAATCTATTCTACTCCATCTACCACACCTGCCATGTCACCCAAACGCGCAAAGACTGAAAAGCAGTCATCACGCGTATGTTTCTAACGCCTGTCTTATCTCACCTGCTAACACTGCAAAGGAAGATAAAATGGATCTTGATGAAATCGAAGACGAACCCCTATCGCCCACGAAAGATCGAATGGACACCAGCCCTGACATCACCCCAAGCAACAACCGCCTCACCTTCTTTGACCTACCAGAACACATCCGAACTCGCATCTACCTCTTATCAGGCCTGAGTCGACCCTGCACGACCCGTATCGACACAAGCTGGCCAAGGAACTACCCGAGCAGAAACAACTTCTGTGAGCTGGAACGAGAGGACCTCCGCGTTTCTCGTCAGGGTAGCTACTACACCGCGGCCACGACGACTAGATTCTGCACACATCCCAATTTTCCAATGGTGCTGTTCAGGGTATCTCGACGCGTGCGTGAGGAAGCAGCGAGGATCTTTCTCAGGAATCGTTTCGCTATGCTTCTGGCATACAGGTCGGATTTGGACTACTTCCAGATGTCGCTGGGATGGGCGTTTAGCCGGTTACGGAGTTTGCACATCGAGTTGAGACCTGGGGATGGGCGGTTCCTCAAGATGTGTGGTGGAATGCATGGCACGGCGTGGAATACGTGGGCGGCGTTTTGCAGGCAGGTTAAAGGGAAGATGCCTGCTCTTGACGTGTTCAGTTTGAAGTGCAAGGTGCGGATGCCCGAAGTTGCGGATAAATTGTTCGATCATATGCAGGGTTTCCCTGAGTTATTGAGTTGTGGAATTCACTTCAACCCCTCGCCCGACGATGGGTTACAAGTCAAAGTCAGGCAGTTCTGCTGGAAGATGACGGGGAGGCTGGACCCTCCGTCGTTCCCGTTCGCGCGTCTTCCCAAGGAAATGCAGTTGCTGGTCCTCGAGTTCCTCTTGACCAACCGTCCAGATCCATACTCGCCCCGTGCGGGGAATTCGTTATCAGAGGGTTTCCGATGTCTTGAGAGCGTGGTGACCTTTCAAAACCGTCGATATCTGCGAGCCCATGACGTCCGTCCTATGATGTGCTGTGGGACGTGCTCGCCTTCGCAGGCCATGTGTTTCTGCTTCTCGCGCCAGTGCGCATTCTCCACAGCCTGCTCTTGCTTCAGCACGCCCGTACCGTACTTCCTCGTCAGCCGCGAATTCTACAACATGGCGCGCCACATCTTCTACTCGAAGAACGTCTTCGCCTTTGTCGAAGAAGACCCCGAAGATATGCTCCGCATCACACACAGCATCCCCACCCCCACATTCATGCAAATCCGACGCCTCGCATTCAAATTCCCCTACCACCACCGCATGCCCTACCGCCTCAACGCCCAAAAAATCGAAGAAACCGCCTTTCTCTCCTGGTCCGTGCTCCGTCGGTTCATTCGCGAACACTTCGACCTCCCAAAACTATCCATATCGATTATCGATGTCGGAGGCGCAGATACGTTCTCGCGGACTAGAATGATTTCATCCCGCAATCGGTACCTGCGCAAGTTACTGCTCAGTTTTGCAGATTTGAAAGGCCTGCGCGATTTCTGGGTGTTTCTCGCTGATGACCCTGGTTTTGAGGAGGAGGCGAAGGCGGTTGTACTGGGGAGGAAGGAGGCCGATGATTCGAGGGTTTATGAAGAGGATACTTTTCTTTATCGCGAGGAGTTGTGAACGTGGTGTCGGGTTATTTACGTGGCTTGATTATGATTCATGACATTTATGCAGTACTTTATTTATGCTAGAATGTATTAATAATAATATTAAGATGATTCAAAGGATTATAATTGTTTAATGAATGGTGGACTAGCGAAGCATTTAATGTTGCTGAAGTACGGGTAGGGCTGGTAAATATATATTAGTGCGTTCGCATTAAATGTTCAGCTCTGACCTGTCCTTTCCTACCGGCTATTCTGTTGTCTATCTTTTTTTTTTTTTTTTTTTTAATTTATAATACCAGGACTCTCTATTTCACACTCCCTCGAAATATGACTAGATATTTATCTTCAGGACACTGGAGTCAATCGTATCTGTGTTGATGCGGAGTATGCAAACCAAGCAAACAATGAAGTCACCGATTTCCATCGGACACCACCATCACTCAATCTCTGAATCCAATTGAGATTGTTACCACATACTATATTCCGGCTCCTTACACATTCCAATGTCATCTAAATAACCTCGAAATCCACCAAATCGATGCGAACCGAAACTGAGTAACAAACCACCAGAGAGCAACATGCCCCCCGCCCCGATCCCCCTCTTCGCCAACACCCAACTCTCCCTCCTCCACACCGAACACCAAGCCGAAATCTCCTCCTCCTCGCTCGCCAGCACAGCAGCCTCCGTTTCTCCCTCCACGCGACGAACGCTACAAGCAACCGGCTACGCGTTGACGGGGCTGATACTAAGCCAGACGAAGACAGGTCTCGGGGGACGAGTGGTTGGTGAGTTTGCGGCGGATCCGGCGACTGCTGTGAAAGGGAAGGATAAGGATGAGAAAGGTAGTGGGGAAGCGGGGTTGGGGGCGCATGGGATTCGGGTTGGCGATGTGGTGCGGGTGAATGATATTGGGTCTGGTGCTAAGAAAACTGGGAAAGAGAAGGAGAAGGATAAGGGGAAGGATAGTGGGAAAGGACTGGAAGGCGTGGTGACGAGAGTCGGGGAGAGGGCTGTTTGGATTGCGTTTGGGCAGAGGGGTGGGAATACGGGGTCGCGGTCTAGGGAGGATGATGAGGCAATTGAGGAGTTGTGGGGGAAGAAGTTATGGCTGTATGTGTTTCATTCATACTTGGATTGCGTGTGCTGACGGCGATGGTGCAGGATTAAATTGGCAAACGACGTGACGTTTCGACGGATGAACCAGACGATGGAGAAGATGACCAAGATGACGGAGAACGAACATTCGCATTTCATGCGCGTTGCGTTTGGGTATACGACGCCGTTACAGGTCGATTATGAAGCTGTCGGTGCTGTGGAGTTCACCGATCCGAGCTTGAATGACTCGCAGAAGGAAGCTATTCGATTCGCACTTGCGTCGAAGGATGTCGTTCTCATTCACGGTCCGCCGGGGACGGGTAAGACACATACTCTGATTGAATTGATCCTACAGATGGTGCAGAGGAACCAGCGGGTACTTGTCTGTGGACCGTCCAATATCTCAGTGGACAACATCGTGGAGCGACTGGCACCGAAGAAAGTCCCTGTTGTGCGGATTGGACATCCGGCCCGTCTGCTGCCATCCGTCCTCGAGCATTCTCTCGAAGTGTTGACCCACACATCTGAAGCTGCTGGTATAGTCAAGGACGTCCGCGCCGAAATTAACTCCAAACAAGCCAGTATCCGTAAAACGCGGACCGGACGAGAAAGGAGAGCAATCTATGACGACCTGAAAGAGCTACGTCGCGAATTCCGAGAACGCGAGTCCAAATGCGTGGACAACCTTGTCCGCGGGAGTAGCGTGGTCCTTTCCACCCTGCACGGAGCCGGGGGCCACCAGCTGAGGAATTCAAAGTTCGATGTGGTAATTATTGACGAAGCTAGTCAGGCCCTTGAGGCTCAGTGCTGGATTCCACTCCTATCCGCTTCAAAAGTGGTCCTTGCGGGGGATCATCTTCAGCTGCCTCCTACGGTGAAATCGACCGTGCAGAAGTCGAAGGATTCGAAAGCGCAAAAGAATGGCAATAATGATGCCAATCTCAGCCCAGAAGAGAAGGAAATTGCCAAAAGCATCTCATTAGAACGAACTATGTTTGATCGACTATTGTCGCTCCACGGCCCAGGCATCAAGAAAATGCTCACTACGCAGTATCGGATGCACGAGAGGATTATGCGCTTCCCATCCGACGAACTCTACGAGTCGAAGCTTATGGCGGGCGAAGCCGTCAAAGCCCGACTACTGAAAGATTTGCCGTATGAAATCGAAGAAACCGACGACACCAAAGAACCCGTTGTATTCTGGGACACGCAGGGCGGGGATTTCCCCGAGAAAACCGAAGACGACGACATGGGCAAGAAGGAAGCTCTACTAGGCGAAAGCAAAAGTAACGAGATGGAAGCTATGGTCGTCGCCAAGCACGTGGCCAACCTTGTGGACGCAGGCGTCCGCCCCGAAGATATCGCGGTCATCACGCCGTACAATGGCCAACTAGCGGTATTATCGCAGATGCTGCGGGAAAAGTATCCCGGTCTGGAATTGGGAAGTGTGGACGGGTTCCAGGGTCGAGAGAAGGAGGCCGTCGTGGTTAGTTTGGTGCGAAGTAACGATGAGCATGAGGTGGGATTCTTGGGGGAGAAGCGGAGATTGAACGGTATGGACCGGATATTAATTCTCACGGAGTAAGCCCGGCATGGCGGAGTACAAGGTGTTAATTTATTCAATAGTGGCCATGACCCGTCCTAGGCGTCATCTGTGCATATGCGGTGACTCGGAAACTATCAGCAGGTGAGCTGAACCCCGACAAACACCCGTCTATTGCATATTATTGACATGGTTGTCATGAACAGAGGAAGTAGTTTCCTGAAGCGCTGGATGGCATTCCTGGAGGAACACGCCGATTTACGATATCCAGATGCAGGTGAACTGCTGTGATAGACCCTGCACTCCGTGCAGAGCACGTAGTTCGGGGTTACGTCACCTTGAACAGTGTAGTTCTATTGGTTTGCATTGACCATATGGCATGGGGTAGATACTGCATGAGTTGAGACATATACCCAATCACCGTTCTCAAACGCAATACAAATTCAAACACAACGATCCTGCGGAGAACTCCGTTACCACAGATTAATACACTATCCCACAAACTCTGACAGCAGCCCGATTATATCCCGAAAATGTGAAAAGTCAACCCGACCAGATAACATCAAAGCAGCAATTCAGGCGAATGCAGAGTACTCCGAGAGTACGCAGCAGAGCAGTCAACCTGCCGAAATCGGATGATCGTCCACAGCCAAGGTTTAGCGTGGTTCTTGGCTTCAACTTTTTCGGATTGGGATCAGCACAAACTATTCCACTTGTGGAGAGTGTGAACCCGGGATTGCGGAAAGTGTACAGGGGGTTCTGCATGACCCCTGAAGACCCTGGTATATCCGGGGTGCATATACAACATAGGCGCTGGCGTTTGAACTGGGTGTAGCAATCAGACATAGTTTGCGGCAAACACGATGTAAACCACATCGCACAAGGCTTCTCCGTACAAACTCATGCCAAACCAAAGCTAGACTGTCAGTTGATCACCTCATAATAAGCTATTGTTGGTGGATCTCGTTATTACCTTTGCGTATCTCGGCAGATTAACTTCCAATAGTTCTCAGCATGTGGGTTTTGGCCATACCCATGAGCAATTTTGTCCAGTAAACCCAGTGCGAGGTTTGCCGCGTCCCGTCGGTGTCCGTGGCCTTCAGGGTAGTAGATGGCTAAGCATATATGAAGGGAAGATTTACCCTTTCCTGAGCGATTGTCAAGACCATTGAATCTCAAAAAACTCCTTACTTTTCGATCCCGATCTCATCTCTTTGTCCTCAGACCAAACACAATGAAGCTCTTCGAATCAATGAAGCTTCTCTCCCTCCTTGTGGCAGCACAGGCCACAGCCCTCCCCGTCATCAAAATCTCCGCCCCCAGCCTAAAAGACTCCTCCCCCTCTGACTCCCACAACAACACCGAGTCAACCTCCCACACCCACTCCTCCCAAACAACCGCCTACAGCAACAACTGGTCTGGCACCGTCCTCACCCAGCCCCCCTCGGGCGACGAATTCACCCATGTCTCCACCATAATCACCATCCCCAAGGTGTCCTCCGACGGGCTGGACTCGTACCAATCCGCCTCCGTCTGGGTCGGTATCGACGGCGCCACTGTCTCCGACGCTATCCTGCAGACAGGCGTTAACGTGGGCATCCTCGACGGCTCCCCGCACTATTCCGCATGGTACCAGTGGTACCCCGAGGCATCGGTAACATGGCCCGACTTCGAGCTGCAAGCCGGCGACGTCGTGGAGACAACCGTCAACGCAACCTCCAAGACCTCTGGTATCTGCATCGTCGAGAACAAGAGCACCGGCCAAAAAGTCACAAAGACCCTCGAAGCACCGAAGCCCTCGTCCACGCTCAGTGGCAAGAATGCAGAGTGGATCGTGGAAGATTTCCTGTCGAACGGGTCGCCGGTGCCGCTGGTGGACTTTGGAGAGATTACGTTTGAGGAGAGCAAGGCGGAGACGAAGAAGGGGAAGAGTGTGGGGGTGTCGGGTGCGACGCCGTATATTATGGTTATTGACGGGGAGCAGGTTAGTGAGGTGGATGTTGTGAATGACTCGCGGTTTAAGGTCAAACATACTTAATGTGATATGATGACTGCATGGCTTATGATACAGTTTAGATACCTTAATAGATAATGAATAGAAAAGTTGTCAACTATAGAGCAAATAATTCCTGTTAAGAGACGAGTTCAATAATGATTTGACTAACATCAAGTCTCCATCGTTCTGTGTTGTCCCGGCACGCGTATTCCATAGCATATCGGGTTTGCTTAAGTCCCTCGATATAATCCTCACAATAAGAAGTTTGGAGTATCACCGAACTTTCAGGCTCGTCACAACAATCCCAGGTTAGCTCTTTTGTTGCGTATGTCTGATTGCCCAACTTATATGTATGCCTCTTGTAGTTTCGAATCGTGGTGTTTTTTTGCGGAGACGAGTCATGCAAGTTGCTAGACGTGTTGTCTCCATGGGCCTGTATCAAGTTAATGACTGGCTATCGAAACATATAGATTCCCATGTGGGAGAAGCGTGACGGTTGCAGCAACGGATTAATCGGTGAGACTTTCACTTTCTCCATGTAGCATCGTCAGGCACGCTGTCTCTCATGACACGCAGAGCCCCCTGGAAAAGGCGTTGGAATGATAGCGTTTGCCGCCAAAGGTTTTATTTTTTCATATGTGGATAAACTGGTGCTCCTAGGATGAGTGCTCACAAATGAAACATCATCCAGTACAGGCGAAAAAGAAAATACCATAGTTGAATGATGTAGTCGAGGTCAACGAGCACAGAACCACAGCTACCAGAGCTAATGCTCCAACCGGGCTTGAAAAAAGCTGGTGACATTTCCGGTAATTCAAGACGGTCTCGACGGTTTCAGAGTATGTTTGATCACAAGCGTGCGAGCATAGGCCGTATCGGGAATTGTATCTTATGGGCCGCTTCTGTCCTAGTTAAACATTGCATTGTTTGTTTTACTGACTGGGGCGATGTATGGCTGCAAATACGGTTTTTCAACTACCGTTCGGCAATGTAGGTTGCTGGAAGAATACCTTGGTAATATCACGGTCTGGAACTGTAGCTTAACAAGAGGATATAGTAAGTCGTCGAAACGTTTGAGAGTTAGGAATTAGGAGGAGGATTGATTAGTCTAGTAGCTACGTAAGATATATGTGGATCAGGCTATGGCAAGGAACGGCATCGACGATACTATTGTATTCTGTGTCTGTGTAGATGGATGAGGGTGGATCTCCTCTATCCGGCAGTTGTGTATGGGCTCGCTAGTGCGGGCCAATCAGGAGCGGGGCATATTGGAGCCTGAGGCTCTCAAACAATATATCTGGTCAGTAAATATATCTGGGTACGTTCGAAGAATATAGAGCTCCTCCATTTTTGGCCAGACTGAGCACTAGCCATACTTGTCTGCATTCACCCCAGAACGAGCTGGAGAACTGGTTATGCATAATTATAATGCATAATTATTCAGCATTCATAGATCACGCGTTGCCACTCATCGTACACAACGCTCGTACTCCATATGATTACGACCTTCACACTCCGATATACTCCGACTTGGTCGCTTTCTGGCTGTTGCTCTGTTGCAAATTGGACGAACGGTGGGCTGCTTACCGGATCCCGACATTGAGCAGTTCGCCAGTCCGGTGCGACTACCACAGCTGTCGAGAGCAACGGAACATACGGATTACTGTCCCAAAGAACCAAAGAAAAATGCCTTAACTGCATATTGCTTCTTGGGGTGCATGTGAGGGTTTCTTTTTTTCTTCTCTCCTCGTGACACTCGAGGTGTTCTGGACCTTAACATGGAGCGCTCCAGAATGTATATCGGGAGGGTCATCATAACCGGGCCGGATGTATCGTAAAAGCCGTCGGCTCGGTCGGCAAGTACGCTGAGACATACGGAGGACGGGATTCTTCCAATATCAGGTTGATTCCCGATCAATCTGTGGATGTTGCCAGACATGGCAGATGACAGCAATCTGGAGATGCCATGACGTGGTGAGTCTCGCGTGGCTAACCTTGTATTCTACGGAGTAGCGATCGTTTTAGAATCTCTTACAAGGGCGAGTCATGACACAATTAAAGACGCACCATTTCCTCAAAGTGAGCAGACTTGTCAGTGCCCGACATCCTGTAGGTGCTGCCATCGTGCAAAGTATACGAGCATGATGTCAGTGTGCATTTCTGCGACGAGGAATATAACTCATCTTCCATTATTGCAGGGCATGATCGCTGCAGAATGTGATGTAGATTTCTACTTGTACGGACGACATACCCTGTATAAGGACTTTCAACGATGACATACAACACCCCATTCGGCCACGTACATAAGAATCTGGAGAATGGGGAAGCCTCCGTATGGAGTAGACTACTCCGTTCTCCAAGCGTTCAATCAACGTGTATGGAGTGCATAAGCGCAGTTAACCTCGGCCTTGTACTCGAAGTATGGTCATAACCCCAATGCCGATTCTTATGCAGATTCGTTTCATATTATGTACCATTTTTTTGAGAGCGACGAGTTGGCGTGCAATAGACTTAACTAAGTCAAGCAAGCCAAGGTAGGCCAAGCGAACAAGACCGTGGTAACTCGTGGATGTAACCAATTCCACCGTCGGGATACAAAAAGGCACCCCACCGATGGAGAAACAGATTCTTTCTCCGCAGGCCGTGCCGATTTTTTATTGTACGAGAATCCCCGAGATCGGTCCGAAGACTCTCCAATTGGCCCGAATGGCCCTACAACGCTCGCCGATCTCCGTAGTTTAGCCGGTCAACAAAGTCTCTTTTGAGTATCTGGATACGCTGGCTTGAACTCTATTGTGGAGATTGTCTGGTTCTAATTCCAGATCCCGTATAGCGTACGGAGCAGTACCGTGACCGTAGAGGCTCCCGTTGGTGCTCGTCCTTGCCCGAGTCGGCATCGGCGTCGGATGAGCATTGCCCGATCGGGATGCCGTTCGGGTTGGTTCTACAAGTACACCACCGCTGTGTCCTACTCCGGAGTACAGAAATAACGGTTTCAAGTGATTTTGAAACGGCAAAAAATGAGTTCATCGCTATGTTCATAGTCTGATATTGCTATCTAGGAACCGGATTAAGATGCTTGTAGAAATGTTCCGTACCTGTAAAAAATCTTAAACTTAACCTAGTTTACTCGCACCACGGCACGGTGATTAAAGGGGAAACTCAACACCGGCTCGGTGTCATCCCGAATAGATCCTCCGAGGTCCACCCGATGTCATGGCACTGCGCTCAGCGTTCTTGTCGCTTTCTCACCGGATTCTGTACCAGGCAAGAATCCCTGGTTTTCTCGCCATTCTGGTCAATTGCGATGAACGGTCAGCGTCAACCAGCAGTCAGAATCCCCCCCCCGTCCGTCCGGGGCACTCCAGGTTAGACAGAAATCGCAAGTTGTTGGGCTAAAAAAGAAAACATGGAGAAAGAAACGCGGAGAACGGTCACGAGGCCCAATCACCGGCCCGACTGTCATACGGTGATTCCCCGAGGTTACCAATCCTTTTCCAGTATGCTTCCAGACCCACGGTCCCTTCCCGATTTGGTACCTTGTACGGGCTTCGGGTGTTTGTGGATGCGAGTTCCATGGAGCGCGAATTTCATGGCTCTCTGTGACGCCACGAAATACCGAAAAGATGGAGGTTACTTATAATCCACGATTTCCCCCGGAATTGTTATGCTGCTCCAGACTGTCTCCCCGTCTTTTCTCTTTACCTCTTTACTTGATACCCTTGCATACTTTTTGTGTTAGTCAAGATGGTCAAAGATAGGTCCAACGCGCCTTCTCATACTGAGAACGCCTCGACAAGTTCTTCCTCGCAAGAGAAACCTCAGTTTGGACGTCTCGTCGGTGGGAAGTACTCCCAAGAGGTCAACGATGACGAGTCTTTCCCCGAATATGGTTCGCTGCAACAAGTCGACGTCGACATGCCCTTGACCTTTACCGAAACAACAAACCACAATGGCAGACAAGTTGTCATCCTCGATTTCCGGCACGGCGATCCCGAAAACCCTTTCAACTGGAGTGGCAAGAAGAAGGCCTTCCTGAGTTCGCTGCTCTGCCTCATGACCCTCTTCATCGGTCTCGCAACAACGGCCTACAGTTCCGGTATCTCGAGAATGTGTGAGGAATTCGGTGTCTCGGAAGAACTGGGCCAGCTGGGTCTGTTTTGCTTCAACTTCACCTGTGCCCTCGCTCCCATGTTCCTGGCCCCCTTCTGTGAGTTGGTCGGTCGTAAGATCGTCTACGTCGGTGGATACGTTTGCTTCGCTCTCATGTTCATTGGTCTCTCGCTGGGCAAGAACATCGCTACCATCCTCGTCTGCCGTTCCCTATTGGGTCTCTTCGGTTGTATCGGTACCATCCTGGTCGGTGGTACTTTCGGTGACATGTACACGCCCGACCACCGTGCTATCCCCATGGCCTCGTTCGCCTACATCGCTATCCTGGGCACCGTGGGTGCCCCCATCTACGCTGGATTCATCGACCAGGCCCTCGGCTGGCGCTGGGTTGAGGGTATCCAGGGTCTTGCCAACATCCCTCTCGGTATCGTCATCATTATCTTCTTCCGTGAGACCCGTGGCTCCGTCACCCTGAACAAGCGTGCCAAGGCCCTCCGCAAGGCCACCGGTGACGAACGCTACATCACCCGCACCGAGCTCGAGGCCCCCGGTGTCAAGGAGATGCTCCACAACTCGTCTGTCAAGGCCATCAAGATGCTCTTCACCGAGCCCGTCGTGTTCTTCTTCGGTCTCTGGATCGCCTTCGCCTGGTTCCTGACCTTCCTCTTCCTTTCTGTCATCCCCATCACCTTCCAGGAGAAGCACGGCTGGGGCGAGGGTGCCGCTGGTCTCCCCTACATCTCGCTCTGCATCGGTACCACCATCGGATTCGGCATGAACTTCTTCCAGATCCGCAAGTACAACCAGGTCCGCATTGCCAACAACGGCCGCGTGCAGCCCGAAGCCCGTCTCTACGGTGCCCTTTTCGGCGCCATCTGGCTCCCGATCGGTCTCTTCATCTACTCCTTCACCCAGTACGGCTACCTCGTCTGGGCCGGCCCCATCATCTCCCTCGCCCTCATCACCATCGGTATCTTCTTCATCTTCGAGTCCTGCTACTCGTTCACCTCGGACTGCTACGGCGAGAACTCCTCCTCCGCCATCGCCGGCCAGGGTCTAATGCGTAACACCCTGGGCGCCGTGTCCCCACTCTTCGCCTCGCAGTTCTTCCACAACGTCGGTAGCCAATACGCCGGGTTGATCCTAGCACTCGTCGCTACCGTTCTTACCTTCCTCCCATTCGTCCTGTTCAAGTTCGGGCCGCAAATCCGCGCCCGGTCTAAGCTTGCTAGCTCGACGACTCGGGCTATGGGTGTGGACTAATTTGTTTTTTTTTATTGCTTGTTTTTTTGTTGTTGCATATAGATATCTATTTGTTATTGAGCACTTCATGTATATATAGATATACCGACGCCCTTTGACAGGGTGTCTTGCTTTGCATGTGTACAGGAGACGGTTACGAATCAAACCGAGTCATGAACCACTTTTCTTCCTCCATAGTACAAGATAGTACAAGTATCCGTACTCTGTAGATTTACCAGAAAATTCTCCACATAAATCATGTGACTTATCTGCCAAGTGAGATATCGCCAGATGACGTCACATCCTGGCATCGTTCACCACCGGCCCAGTTTCACGTCCGACACGGAATCGGAAGATACAGAAATCGGCTTGTATCCATACGGCATCCCGAAACAAGCACTGTTCCGACTCCGAATACATGCCGGTATTTGTCGATATGTGGGTTCCCCGTACACACGGTGTAACTCCGGAGTAGTATGTAGTACATACTCCATGTGTCTTGATTCCGCATCCACTGTGGATGCTAAAGAGGAGTCTAGGTGATGGCGGTGGGTACGAGTATGCCAATGATGTTGAGTATAGTGTGACTGACGAGGTGGATGGGTGCGAGGTTTGCGGCGTTGGTGGGTTTGTTGTGTACTCCGGAGTACCTCCTCGATGTCCTTCTATCTTGATGCCTATGGCGCTATGGGTATACGCTGTGGACATCATAGTATTCTCCAGGCACCATACGCAAAGGTCAATTAAACCTGCGGACACAGGCACCAGCCTTTTCGTTTCTTCTAGGCCATTGTTTTCTCCACTGGTCTATTCCCCATCCGGAGTTCCACATCCACGAAGCCAGATAGTCTACGCTATGCCCCAAGTAACAAGTCTAGAATGACACGGATGCGAGGAAGATTATCGTATACCATCCCAGCAGCTTTCCCTCAGCAGACTGAATAGTATCTATAACTCGATTGAATGTTTTCCATCTGCATTCTTAGACACGGAAATACAAAAGAGCCTCTCAATCAAATGTGAAGAGTTAAAGCCAACGGAAAACGGACTCTACAATAACCCCAAGTCAGAACCATGTTTCTTCAAACATGCAATCCCCATCAAAGATTATCCTCCAAGTTTCAAACCCGGAGATGCGTATTCTAACCACCAACAAAGTGTTCATGCAGAGATAAGGGAGTATGAAGGCAACCCACGCAAAAGCCGTCAGGCAGCCTATACGCTTGTCTACGAAATAATTTGGGCCTTTAGTGCATACCAAAGAACAGGCCCTGAGTGTATTGACAATGACCTTAGTGCTCTAACTGACTGGCTAACATTTTGACAAGGACTTTGACGAAGATGTTGTTCTTGCAGAGAGATTCACTACCATTTTCTGTCCCACTATGGCGCTCCGGGATACCAGAAATCGACCGCGTCTCATGTTCGTAATGAGACATGATATTGAACCATAGGGGGAGGACTTACTCCATGGTGAAACCCTGACTATAGCGGCAGCTATCATTACCAGACTGGAAGAGTTTGAGGAACATAAATACATCCCAATCCTTGTTCTCTCGTTCATGGGAAGTTTGAAGGGAAGGATACTCCAGGCGTACTTTGATGGAAAGGATATTGTCATCCGGAAGACGAAGATCTACCATTTTTGGCCTCTGGATGACGCTAGAAAGTGGATTGATGTTTTTTTTACGCAGCAGACGGCCCATGTTCCTGTTGGTGATACCTTTGGATAGTAGAGTCATAGATAGCTAAATAACAGAAGGTTTGCTATAGTCCTTTATAATTGTGATTATCTCATCGTAAACTTGAATGCTTCGTCGTGACGTACTCCCACCTCATTCGAGCCCTGCATCTAGATAGCTGTAAGCAGGTACTATAGGACCAAGGTTGGCACCAGAGCCCTCCCTCATTCTCCATTCACTTTTTATCAACTTACACATGTCTTGTTACGTTCAACAATCGGCTGTTCTAGTACCTTCAAAGTACGATCTCTAAAACTGCGAGCCCAGAAAGCGACATTCACTTATTACACACCACCTCATCTCCATCAGAACATCTGTCACTAGACCCCAGAGGCCCAAGGCTTTATCAGCAGGCCAAACGATATCTATGATTTGCTTGAAGGTCATTGATCTCCATTCCTAACAAACCACACCATACCAATACAGCCAAGTGCAAAACCAGCTTCACCGTTTCACACTCTTCTTTAAATTCTAGGTCCCACCGCCAAGACGCTAGCTTAAGAAATGGGTACATTGGAATGGACCTTGATGATGATGTCTTCCATTTTATAGAGCATTTTCCAGTCTAAGACTATGCATGCTCTACCCACCCCCTCAGGGGTGGGATTTTGTTACAGACCTTATCCTGTCAGTCTCACGTGACGATGCGGGGAGTTAAGGCAGAATCATTGGGTACGCTCAATGGGATGATCAGTAAGTTAAGCAGGGATCATGGCCTGAGCATTAAGGAAGTACGACATACCTCACGTGACCTGCAGGAGGTATACAGGTATATGAGTCAGAAGTTATACTATTGGTTTTGTATAGGGTATACCAGTATACTTCGGGGATGTTATACTGATAATCATGGAGGATATATAAGGACACTCACTCCTGTACCTAGTTTAGTTCTTCGCGATTGTCTTTGTCAATAAAGCATTGGTTACCTTTCTAGTTCAGACTCGTCAGCACTAAACCAACAACTAAGTATATGTACTTAGTTGGCCTTGTTTCTCTACTTCATCACCTTATTTGGATTACTTGTTTACAGAGCCTGGCTGGGGTGATATACCAAGCAGCACATTCTTTATGGAGCCTTACTGGGGCAAGATACCATGCAGTGCATCATGACTTAGACTGAGGGGTCATTATTGATATAACGACGACGATGAAGGACACTCAGGTGAGTGCCCCAACTGAGACTTAACTAACTAGAACCTTAGGTTACAATACAAAGAGAAGCTAGGTTGTGACATAACAATCACCAGTCAGCATGAGTCTAGTCTCAGTTGACTTATTCACAATCATATTGAACAACAGCGCTACGCCTAGGTCCTCTCATGGATCTGAGGAATGTATGCCCACATACAAACAACTGTTTGGAATGGTGAGCCAGCTACAAGAAAGCATCACCACCTTGGAAGAAAGACAATTGGCACAAACAATCAAGGTCTGACCACCAGAACCTTTTGACAGCACTTGATACAAGTTGTGATCTTTCATTACCCAGTTAGACTTGTATGTCTGCATTAATCACAGCAAGCTTATATTAAAATCTGACAAAGTCTTGCTTGCAGTGACATATTTAACCAGTCCAGCATTTGATTGGTTTGAACCTATTTTACACAATTTCTAAGAAAAAGATGAAGAACATCACAATGACAATACCACTGAAATCTTCACCAATTATGCTGAATTCAAGAAATGACTCCAAGGAACATTCAGAGATATTGATGCCACATGAAATGCTGAACAAAAACTATGGTGACTAAAGCAAACCAGATAGTAACCAAACTGGTATCTGAATTTCAACAAATCATTGCACATCTGAATTGGGATGAAGAGATGTACATCACCAAATTCAAAGAAATGTTGAAACCAGAAATTCAGGAGAAGTTGGTTTGAATGGAACAACCAAGCTCCCTGAATGAGTTGTTTGAATGAGCAATCAAAATTGACAACACCCTGTATGACCTAAGAGTCAGACAGAAGGAGTCATGATATGGAAACACCTTTAGAGGAAATCCACAAACAAACTGCTACCAATCAAATGATAGACAACCAGCTCAACCACAAAGCCAAGGGTATGAAGATCCCTATGTGTGAGAGAAGGTCTATAGATAGCGCAGTGAGTGTTATGAGAAGTATATGCGTAGTATTCACGGTACTAATCGCTGATGTCCTGTCCTCGGCCATCAGCGAGGTTAAGACTTTATGTCGCGGTCATGTGATGTGCAGGTGCTTATTAACCGCACGTGCACGTTATGTACATGCATAAGTCCGCTATGCGGCTTTGTATCCTAACATGGTCCTCTTTCTTCTCGAGAGCCACAGCCTCGTGGCGTATAATAAAGCATTGAACAAATAAGGGGGAATGCATTGAGCGTGTAGACAACCGCAGTGTATAAAGAAGTCAAGAGTCACATATAAACAAAGGATTGATAGTCATTTGTTGCGCTGAGGCTGTTACCTTGTAAATTGCAAGTAGTGTGTCTATGTGAGTCACCATAGTAATTTGGTGTGGTCATGCATTTGCATTTGTTGTTGTATCACACTGCTGAATTGGGCATAGTGTTGTGCTGAGATGAGCATGTTTATGTTTGTTGTGTAGGTGTGAGAGAAGGTGTCACAACCTAGCTTCTCTTCATATCATAACCTAAGGTTCTAGTTAGTTAAGTCTCAGTTGGGGCACTCACCTGAGTGTCCTTCGTCGTTGTCGTTATATCGATAATGACCCTCCAGGTCTAAGTTGTAATGCGCCGCTTGGTATATCGCCCCAGCCAGGCTCCGTAAACAAGTAATCCAAATAAGGTGACGAAGTAGAGAAACAAGGCCAACTAAGTACATATACTTAGTTGTTGGTTTAGTGCTGACGAGTCTGAACTAGAAAGGTAACCAATGCTTTATTGATGAAGTCAATCGCGAAGAACTCAACTAAGTACAGGAATGAGTGTCCTTATATATCCTTTGCTTCCTACCATTTTGTATACCATCTGTGGTAGGACCGTGGTCGCAATATACCATTCTATCCCACGGGGGTGCTCTCAGTCACGGAGACTGGAGCTCAGGGTTATGTCTTAACTATGGGAGAAAAGAAGTGGGGCCCCGGTGACTGGAGCTTTTCAACCCACGGCGACTG